GAGGCCTCCGGTGGCACCGCGCCGCCCCCGACGGCGCCCCCTGGTGGCCAGCGCTGGCATCGTCGAGGGGACGCTGTCGCCGCAGAAGCTCCCTAAGATGCACGTGGGCTCTCCCAAGGCGCAGGGAGGGAGAGCGGACCGAGCGCGACATGGAAGAAGACCCTAGTGAAGGAAGGAGCCCCTCCGGGAAGGTTACAGGGACTGTCGGGGCCGTGGCTGTCCGAGGGAAAGGAGGCTCGAGGTGTTTATAAAGATCGTAACCGAGATGCTCCTTTCTGAGGACGCCATGGAGGAGGAGACGGTCCCGATGGGGAGGACCCCTCTGGAAGATGCCGGAGCGTTCGGGGCGGGGCGGCCCGCGGGGGAAAGCCCGCCACCGCCGCGCGCCGCTCTCCCCGCGGAGGGTGCCCCAGGTGCCGGCCCCCCCGGCGCCGGTTGTTCCGGGCCGAGCCGCCCCGCCGAGGACGCGCCGCTGATTGGCTGCGCCGCCGGGCGGAAGTGATGCTACTGTCACTGACTACTGGGGCTCCCGGGAAGCCGCGAGTTTCCGCAAGGAGGCGGCGGCAGCAGCTGCGGCCCGGCCGGTGAGTTGGGAACTCGGTGGGGACGGCGCTTTGGAAGTCGGAGAGTCTGGAACTGGGGGGAACCGGTGTCAGGATGAGGAAGCTGCGCAGAGGGCGCCTTCAGTCCGGGGCCCAGGATGGCCAGGGACACGAGGCACCGGGTTCTTCCATTCCAGGGTGGTGTGGGTCCCTCCGAGGAGAGGGACACATTGCATACGGCAGTAGGACCGAAGTGGGGGAAGTCGATGAAACCGATCCCTGTCCGCAACCTGGTTTGCAGGAACGGGGTGCAGAGGGAGCGAGGACAGCCTCTGGGAGCAGAATCTAGAATCTGGACTGCCTAACGGAGTCCTCCTCCCTTGGCAGCTAAAAATGCTTACCAGTTGGGATGAGATTGAGATCTGCTTTCAGAAGGCACTTAAAGTTCCAGTCCCAAACCCTGGGAAGTTGGGATAGGAGTCTCCCTTCTCCCCTGGGGAAAGATTTGGTCGGGTTTCACTTCTCTTCTGGAAATCACTGGGACTATTGAGATTAAAGAAGCCTGCTTAGGTGTTTCACTTTCTGGCAATCAATCGAATTTTTGTTTTAGTTAGTAAGGTGTGCAGACTGGCAAAGATCAAGGGTGTCCAGTGGGACCATTGAGGGTGCTGGAAGGTAGGAGGAATTTGAGAGAGAGAGATGCCTGGGAAGCTAAGAGAGAAAGAAAAAAGGAAAAGAAATGTTAGAGGGAGTAAAGTTCCCTTCTTCTATTCCAAAGAGTCTTGGCTCAAATACCCATTTTGCTGTAATGTTTTGAGTCAAATCCATTTGGATATGTATGTGGGTTCTTCTTTAGAAACAGGTGCCTCTAGGACCCTCCCTGGTATCGCAACAGGTTAGGATGCAGCACTGCAAGCTGGCAGCAGCCTCTTCAGCTCAGGTTCGATACCATCCCTGGAGATGACCCACATGCTGCAGCAGACCTCTCCTGACCCGCCCGCTGCTTCCCTCAGCAGTGTACTTAGTCAGTCTGTCTGTTCTGCTCCTTACTCTGTCTCTGGTCAGTCCTCTCACCGCACCGGTACCCCAGTTCTGTATGCATAAATAAAATAAATCTTAAAAAAAAAAAAAAGCAGGTGCCTCTAAAGGAGCCCAGCCACCAATGAGCCTGCAGTACACACGTCTGCCTTCCTTTCACCTGTCCCTGTCCCCCTGGGTGCCTGCCATTTCTAACATGGTTCTTCTGTTTACCATGGGTGGCACACCCAAAGCTGGAATCTGATTCCTCATGTCCAAGCCAACCAGCTGAGCCAATGACTGAGGCACCCTCTACTGCTGCAGTCGGGCAGTTCTTCCCTTCCACGTGCCTCCTGTCCTTTACACCTGTTCCCTTTCTCTTGCATTCTGGGGCTCTCCCTGTCTCCCTGGCCTTCTGCTGTCATCCACAACCCCAGAAGCTAACTACCATTGGACTTCTGGGGCACAGTTCTGCCTACTTTCTCAAGAGAAGTCTTGGATCACAGTTGAAGCCCTCTTCCAGGCATTTGGAGGAAAAAGAAAGGAGTGTGGTGTCAATGTTAAGACAAGTAGGATTTCTGGGTTGTGTCCTGATTTGACCTTTCTGTTCCAGTTTGTAATCTGTTTGAGGTTCCCTAGAAATGATACTTGATCGTAGGCCACTGTCTTTGGTCATGGGGTTCACGGTTAGCCTTGATTTGTTCCACTGGGCTAGGGAGGACAACATTTCTTCTCTCCTTGGGGCCCCCAGGTCTGCTGTCTGTGCTCAGAGTCAACCCTGCCGACAGTGCAAGTGATGCCTTTGCTCCACTGGCACAAAATGAGTGTGAGGTGGTTAGCCAGACCAGGAGCCCAACCACAAGGAGTGTCCAGGTGAGAATGGGGCCCCATGGGGGGAGTGAGCCCCGAGAACAACTGGACTGAGCACTCAATTTGGGAAAGACTTGTGTACCCTCTCATAAGGGGTAGAGGGTCTCTCCTGCAGAGCAGTCTTAATTCTGCCAGTAGTTGACGGGAGTGATGGGACTTTCAGCTCTTCTGTAGAAACGGCCAGAAGGAGCAGCCTGCTACCTTAGCCGCTGGACATTCTGCTCCCTTATCTGGTGAGATGGGGAGTGGCCCGTCATGCCGTGGAGCTGTCCACTGGGGTTAGTGCTGGCCCGCTCTGTCTGGGGACTTGTCCTTGTCAGGCAGTGATAAAAGTGAATTAAAAGGGGCTCAAATGTTTAATACTTGAAAGAGTGGGTTGGGCTTTCCAGGTATAATACGTCAGTGGCTCAGTCAGTCACTGCTGATTCCCAGTTTGCAGCTCTTTTATCTCTGCTGTCTCTTTTTCTCTTGTCTGCAGCCTGCTGCTCTGATGCCGAAGGGGAGGCAGAAAGTGCCACACTTGGATGCCCCCCTGGGCCTGCCCGTCTGCCTCTGGCTGGAGTTCTTACTGGTTCCCTGGGTTATGGGCTTGGCAGGGGCTGGTGGGCCTGGGGGCCAGGAGCCGGGGGGGCTAAGCTGGGCTGTGCATCTGGACAGCCCAGAAGACGAGGGGAAGGTGGAGACTCTGGAGCAGCAGGCAGATGCCTTGGCCCGGGCAGTAGGGCTGGTGAACTCCGGGCGCATCGGGGAGCTCCAGGGACACTACCTCTTCGTCCAGCCCGCTGGGCACGGGCAGGACCAGCAGGTGGAGGCCATCCGGAAGCGGGCGGAGGCTGCGTTCACCCAGCATGAAGCTGTGCGTTGGCACTCGGAGCAGACGCTGCTGAAGCGGACCAAGCGCAGCCTTCACTTCAACGACCCTAAGTACCCGCAGCAGTGGCACCTGGTGAGCCCAGGCGGCCGTCTGAGCTTCAGAGGGAGATGTTGTGACCGCCTGTTTTTCTGGGCTTCTCACTGTTTGTTTTCAGTGGCCCCCATCTGTGCCCAAGGAGACATCTCTGCAGGTTCCTCCCAGTGCGCTGCTAGAGGGCCGGGGGGCTGCAGTGCTTAGGACGGGGGAGCTGGACTCCAGCTCAGCTGTGCCCTTTCCACCTTGTGCCCTTGGGCAAGCTGTTTAACTGCGCTGGGCCTCAGTTTTCCCATCTGTAAGGTGACACTCTAGTAGTACCTACCTTGCAGAGTTGCAGGTGGGAAGAAGATTGAATATGTCTGAAGCACATAGAGTGGTGCCTAGTGTATGATAAACACCATGGTGTTAATGCTGTTAAAACAAAAGTCAATTTAAATATCTGCTTGACTTGATTAAACAGGCAGCATCCTCATCTACCTATTGCAAGGGCTTCCATAAAATGGAGAGCATTTAGGGACAGGGGGAGGGACAGAGTATTAACAAAAGAAAAGATAATTTCAGGGGACTGGGGTGCTTTACGCAGATGACCTCACTGGGGCTGATTAGGAGATTCCAGATTGATGGATTTAGAGTGACACTTTTAGAAGAGATTGAAATTGCCATGGAGGGTGAGCATGGGGGCTCCAGGATGAAGATCCCCATTTTGGGTCTTTTTTTTTTTTGCAATTTGCTCTTCATTTTGGAATTATTTTCTCTGTTAATAATATTTTTATTGCAGAGCATTAGTAGAGCATTTTAGACACTAGCTCTGGCATAGCAGTTACCCTCTCCATCTCTTTGCCCTAGTCACCACGGCCCTTTATCAGCATGAATGGTGCCAAGCCTTCCTAGAGACCTGGGCAGGACAAAACTCTCTCTTGTGTCCCCCTCACCCCCCCCCACCCCCGTCTCTGTCTTCATCTGCACCTCTCGGCGCACAGCCTCGGTCTGGCTCTTCGACAGTGGCCCAGAGGGGCTGCAGGCCTTAGCCTTATCTCTGCAGGTGGTGCCGTGTGTCACTGGACACCCAAGGCTTGACAACAGTTCGTCACCCTGTCTCTGCTGCAGAATAACAGGCGGAGTCCTGGCAGGGACATCAACGTGACAGGTGTATGGGAGCGCAATGTCACTGGACGAGGGGTGACCGTGGTGGTGGTGGATGACGGCGTGGAACACACCATCCAGGACATCGCGCCTAACTATGTGAGCGGCCCTGGAACGACCCCCCACACACACACATGCCCCTACTCCCATAGCTACCTCCTCTTTAGTGTCCTCTCAGGCTTGATCCCTACCCTGGAGGTCATAGGGTGAGCCCCCGAGTGTCCTGCCTGTCCTCCTTTTCCCCTAGCCTTCCAGGATGGCAGTTCAAGGACAGAGAGTGGCCCCCATCCAGCAAGGGAGAGGATCTTCCTGGTTCCATGCCTACTTCCTGGTTCCTGTCTTTGCTGCCTTCCCTCGGGAGCACCAAATGGCTCCTGTAGGCAACTCCCCACCCACCCTCCCCCACCAGGCTTTAGCACTTTATTCTTTCCAAAGCCTGGCCTTGAAGTAGCCCTAAATCTCTCAATCCCTGGTTTCCCAGGACATGGAGCAATTGCCATGTCTAAAATGGACAAGAAAGAAGTGTTCCTGAGAGCAGTGACACTTCTGAGCTTTGCCCCAGTGTCCCCCGCTATCTGGTAGCCCATATAGAAAGAGACAGACCTGCTCTCCCTGAATCCCAAGACCCGAACCCTTTGAACCATGAGTGGCCACATGGTGCCTCCCCCCATGTTTCAGTGCCCCGAGGGCAGCTATGACCTCAACTCCAATGACCCGGACCCTATGCCGCACCCAGACGTGGAGAATGGCAATCACCACGGAACGCGCTGCGCCGGGGAGATCGCTGCTGTGCCCAACAACAGCTTCTGTGCCGTGGGAGTGGCCTTCGGGAGCCGCATTGCAGGTGCCTCGCCATCTGGCCCTCTCCCCGACCCCGACCTCCCAGTAGCTTCTGGTCGGTATCTGTCACTTGATCGACGGTTTCCAGGGTAGAGGTTTGCAACAAAGCCCACTTTATGAAACGGGTCAAAGTAGAGATAGTCCGGATGCGGGGGAGGCCTTAGCCACACCTACTCGGTCTCTTCTTCACTTGCTCTGATCATGGCTTTGCCCCATCAGTGACCCAACTCGGTGTAATGATAACTCTTTTTCCCTATCTGTGATGCCTGTTTTTTCATCATTCATTGCCTTCCCGTCTGCCCTTCCACCGTTTGCCATTGTGTCCGTGGAGGCCCCTCTCCAGCTCCCAGCACTCCAGCTCCCGGGCCTTCTGCCGGTCTGCCAGTTGCCATCTGTTCTCCATCCTTTCAAGAATCCTAAGCAGCCCTGCCCCTGCCCCTGCCCCGGGGTTGTTTTACAGTTCCTTTGTTTCTGGGACTTGAAGGTGAAGGGAGTGAATGGGGAGATTCTCCCCGGGACTCTCAAAGTCCTTAGAAGCTACATACTGAATTGATTGGCTGCATTCCACTTAGACTCCAGCAGAGGGCAGCCGCCCTTTCTGGGAGGCTACAGAGGGAGCCAGAAACTTCAGTGCCCAAGTTCCGGCTGAAAGACCCCTTTGTACCTGCATGGTCACTAGGATGGGACCCTCTTCATTTTAGAGGAAAAAACTAGACTTCTGTGGAACTATTAATGATAATGAGTACCATTTGTTGACACCGTGCAGGTGTTGTAGAGATACAGATGAGGAGCCCTGGCTTCCCACATTCTAGCCTATGACTCCTCCCACCAGACCTTGTGAGCCTGAGAGTCAGAGATTTTGTATCACATTTAAAAAAAATCTGGATAGGTACATCCGCGTGGTATATAAATACCACAGTTTGCAAGGAAACTTAGAAAGAAAATTAAGTCCTCGGGAGGCTCCCCACCACCCACTTCCCCTTCTGGGGGACCAGCATTATTTAGGAGTGGGTGTGACTTCACTGTTTAGGTATCCGGGTGCTGGACGGACCCCTGACTGACAGCATGGAGGCCGTGGCCTTCAATAAGCACTATCAGATCAATGACATCTACAGCTGCAGGTGAGTAGACCCTGGACGAGGAGGGGTGGGGAAAGAGGTGGGAAAATCCGGGACGGACCCTCCACCAAAGGAACCAATGGGCCGATTCAGGCACATCCGGGCAGGGCACTCCTTACTCGAGTGAGCCCCCCAGGCCATTGCCCTCATTTCTTCCAACCCCCAGTCACGGGGTGCTCAGCCTTAAGCTCAGGTCACCCCGTTTATCGGGTTGCCTTGTGAAGAGTCTCCATCCTGCCCTCTGCTTATTTGTTTCATAAACTCATAAGGCCTCTTTGAGAAAGGGCGCTTTCCTCTCCAAGCGTAGCTATGTTGAACACTGGGTGCCAGCCCCTGCCATCCTACAGGTGGTCATGTGATAGCAGGGGTGGGGTGAGTATAAGGAGAAACTGCCCCATGGCCTTGATGGCCCCTGTTCTTCCCCAACCCGTACTCCCCAAATCCATGGCATTATCCACAAGGTTTGCTTCTTCTCGGAGGAAGAACAAAGAACTCAGCCTGAGTGAGACCCAGGCCCATTGAGTACTTACTTCGTGGGTGCTCTGCCATCAAGCCTAATAGCAGGTCTCTAGATCAGGAGAGGGGTTGCCCTGTGTCCCTCTGCCACTGTCCCATCTGCTCCCTGGGACCCAAGAAAGGATCTGAGGGCAAGTAAAGTAGCCCTATCCTGGAAATGTTTCCAAGGAAGAGGAAGCTTCGCCCATGGTTCTGCTTTCCTCTTTGCAGCAGAGACCTTGGCAGCCTGATAATCAGGGGACCCAGGCCAGAGCCAGGCAGAGGGGTGGCCAGCTGAGACTGGGGGCTGGGGAGAAGCAGAGGGAGGGGCAGAAGAGCAGGCAGCCATGTCCTGCTCCAACTTCTCCATCTGGGTCTTTCTCAACAGCTGGGGACCAGATGATGATGGAAAGACAGTGGATGGCCCCCATCAGCTCGGAAAGGTAACCAAAGGCTGAATTTCATCCTAGAAGAACTACTACGAGTCGCTCCCTCTGACTCCCCAGCCCCAGTGGCAGTGCCAGCCCTGTGCCATGTCTCCCGCCAGCTCAGCTGAAGATGGTGGCTTGTAGTGAACGAAATGGAGCAACACTTCGAGATTGTTTCGCTTTGACTTTGTGATAGGCTCCCAGTTCTCGACCCCAGCCAGTGTGAAAAGCAGGACACAGCTCTCGAGCGGTCTCTCAGCTGACAGCTTTCCTTCCTTCTCGTGTCCATATCTAAATCCCTTTTGTCCGTGCCCAATGCACTTTGAAAAATTTCCCCTTTTCTTTCTGGAAGGGGAAAGAGGACAATTGACGTAGGCAGTATCAGTCTTTCTGTGAGTTCCAGCTGGTCCCCAAATGTCTGTGTTCCTCAGGCTGCCTTGCAACATGGGGTGATCGCCGGCCGCCAGGGCTTCGGCAGCATCTTCGTGGTCGCCAGCGGCAACGGGGGCCAGCACAACGACAACTGCAACTACGACGGCTACGCCAACTCCATCTACACCGTCACCATAGGTAGCGCCTGCTGGCTCGCTTGTGCCGCAGCGCCAAGTCGCGTGTCCGCTGCACCCCATCTTCCACATGTCTTCCTGAGGGGCGGGCTCTGCTCTCAGAGGATCCCAGGGCCTCAGGATGCTCTGGGAAGGCAGCCCCCCACCCCCACCCCCACCGCCACTGCCCTGTCCAGCCTCTCTCCCCAAGGACACCGGCCTCCTGCGCGAAGCCCCCGGCCCACTAGCCTAACAGCGCTCCCGGCCTGGGCTCCCTTCCACACACTGCCAGCGCGTGTACGTGTTACCACAAACCCGGCTTCCTCCCTGATGTGAGATCAGGACTGGCCTTCTCCGTCTGGCCCCAGTGGCCACAGGGCATGACTTATGCCTCGAGTGTGGAGGGCGATGAGTGTGAATGGCACGCAAGTGGGTGTGGCAGGGGAGACAGCGCTCAGGCCAGACCCTCGTCTCAGCCCCCGTCTCCCCGCTCTGTCCCCAGGAGCCGTGGATGAGGAGGGGCGGATGCCTTTCTACGCAGAGGAGTGCGCCTCTATGCTGGCCGTCACCTTCAGTGGGGGGGACAAGATGCTCCGGAGCATCGTAAGTGCCCCCCAGGCTCCTACCCTTCCCGGCCCCTGCAGTTCTGTTTGTGCTCTCTCCTGTCCTGCCCCTCAGCAGAGCTGGGCCTTAAGGTCTCCCACTGCTAGGCAACCAGAACTGGGGACACCAACTAATTCTGTGTCCATAGTTTTGACCTTAAAAAATTTTTTTTTAATTTTATAACAGTTTATTTTTACATCATTTTGTACTTTTTTTTTTTTTTTTTTGACCTTAAAATTTTTAACTTGCCCCATTCACATTGTTATGGGAACTACTAAGCATCCCATCGATGAAATGACTTCTTTTCAAAATATCTTCCCTGGTAGAACTTGCACTTTGGTTAAGTTTCATGGGCTTAAAAAAAGTCATCTTCAGCCCTGGTGTAAATGCCTTGAGTCCTGGTCTTCCCCTCCTCCGGAGTGAAGCAGGTGCTTGCTGTTATGGGGTGCGTTAAGAAAAGGGGTCAGAAAAACGTCTGCCTGAGAGGCAGCTCTCTCCTGGGAGCAGAACAGGAGCCATAGCAAACAACGCTGGAGCAAGGGGGAGCGTCTCCCGCTCCGGGAGGCTTTCAAAGAATTTGGGGTCAAGTGCCTGCGCCTGCTGGCTCAGTTCCGCCCCCGCTGCTTCCAGCCAGGGCTGGGCACATCACCCCTCAGGGAACCCCCTGCTGCTTGTGACCAGTAGTGTGGGGACTGGGGGCTCCAGGTGAGGGGGTGTGAGCCAGGTGATGTCAGACTTCACATTTCTCCAGTGCCCTAGGGTCCCCGGCAACTAGACTCTATCGTCTTCCTGTGGGGTCAGATTCATTTTCCAAAACTGAAACTTTGTTTTGCCAATAGCTGACTTCTGGTCAACACAATGTTCCAAGGCTCTGTGCCAGCTAACCCCAACCTAACCCTGCACCTCAGGGAATAGAGAAGTGGACTAAAGGAAAAAGGCGAGAGACGTTGCTGAGCAGGCTGGGGTATGGCGCAGAGGGTACCCCACCCCAGGGCAGGGGTTGAGGAAGAAGAGCAGGAACATACTATGCTCTTCTGGCCCAGGCAGGACTCAGCGGGAGCCGCTCACCTTGCCCAGCCCCGTCCTGGGCAGGCTCCCCGGCATAACCATTCTTGTTGACCTGGGGTGCCGGCTTCTCTCCTCACTCCACTCCTTACGTCACCCACCATTTGAACTGTAAGTGGTCCAGAAAGAGCTTGCTTAGCCAGGTTCCCTTCTTTGGGATGCCTTGCTTCAGACACCCCCTGGATGGGTGCCTCTTCCTATGGGCAGGGTGTGCTGGTGACAGTGCCCACCCCGTGGTGACCTGGGGCAGCTCCCAGTCTTTGCAGTGGCTTCCAGGGCTCCTGCCTCGCTGGGCACATTCACAGGCCTCCCAGCGGCGTACTAGGCTCCCTGTGAGGCTGTTTCCTTAACAGGAAGAAAGCAGCCCGCTCCCTGGCACAGACCAGGCTGCCCTCTCATTGAGGCTGCAACCCCTTTTCTCCTGGGCGTGCAGGGCGTCCAAGTGACAGTTATATCAGCTGCTGTAACAGCTGGGGGAGCTGGGAGGGAGGCTGAGAACAATGGAGAAAGGCAGCTCTTGGCAGAAATTAGCACCCTGGTATCCAGCCCAGAGAAAAGCAAGGAAAAACAGTTCTCTGGTCTTAGCATTGGCACCATGGGCTGAGGGTCCAAAGAGTCACATGGGGGTGCAGATTAAGACAGGACCCTCAGCTTCAACAGCTCCAGGTGATGCCAGAAAGGCTCCACCCCACTTCCAGGCTCTCACCTCCTGCCTCAACCACAGGTGAAAAGGAAGATTTTTGGAGCCACACTGAGGTGATGGCCCAGAACACGGGGACAGTTTGTCCTGTCCATCGCCACAGGCCAAGACAGGCAGGCAGTGCAGACACTAAGCCCGTGGCAAGCCACGGGGTGGGCAAGGAACTGGTTCCCCTTTGGTGGGAACACACTCGCTTTGTTCTCATTGATGTCGCTCCAGCCCCTAGCGCCGAGCTCCCGAGCTGGACTTCTTAAACGGTGCCGTCACTGTTGTCCCAGTTCCAGCCAGGGGCCCAGAGCTCCTGACCACTGCCTCTGGGCGCGGGGGCTGGAAAGTTGGAGCGGAGCCTGGGGCAGAGGCCTGGCGACTGGTTATCAGTGGAGCAGGAGTCGGACGCTGTCCTCTGCAAGCAGGCCCTCCCCACCTCCTGCCCCCACTGGCAGACCCTCACAAGCGACTCTTTAACGGTTGGTACCCCGACTGTCTGCGAAGCCTAGGAGGTGTGAGAACCCCTTTGTCTTGCCTGTCTGTGGCCCTCCCTCTGGTCAGAGAGTCAGCTCTCACAGGAAGGGCCCACTTGAGAGCCTGGGTCTGAGGCGCACCCCCGCACCCCCCACCGCCAGTGTCCAACCCTGCCCTCTCCATTCTACCTGCCAGGTGACCACCGACTGGGACCTGCAGAAGGGCACAGGCTGCACTGAGGGCCACACAGGGACTTCAGCGGCCGCCCCGCTGGCGGCTGGCATGGTCGCCCTCATGCTGCAGGTGCGGCCCTGCCTCACATGGCGGGACGTCCAGCACATCATTGTCTTTACAGCCACCCAGGTGAGGAGGACTCTGGCTGGGCCTTTACTCTGGATCCCGCGACCCCACTGCTCCTGCTCTCGAAACAAACTCTCCTAGCAGTGACATCACAGGGCTTTGCTCTTTCACCTCAGCTTTCCTTGGGGAACCCATTCCTACTCTCCCCCGGGGAGTCTGGGGGGTGGCAGCAGGGTGAGCAGGAAGACCAGTGCATTTGTCGGGTGACAGTGGAAAGGCAAGAGGCCAGCCAGCACCTCTGTCCTTTCAGTATGAGGATCGCCGTGCAGACTGGGTCACCAACGAGGCCGGCTTCAGCCACAGCCACCAGCACGGATTTGGACTGCTGAATGCTTGGAGGCTCGTGAATGCCGCGAAGGTGACTGGTGCCAGCAGAGCAGTGAGCCCTGTGGGAGAAGCCAGGAGGGGGCCAAACCCCTAAAACATTGCCTGGGACATCACTAGTGCTTAATCAGTGGTCGTTCATTCATCTCATGTGTTCAACCATTTCATTAACTTGACCGTCACCCCGACTGGATGAAGACACAGGCTCAAGACTATAATTGAAGTTGCCAGGCTATTTGTAGAGAGTAAACAGGGCCCCAGTATAACGGGACTCTCTGAGGAGGGCCAGGGGAAGGTGCTGGGGGGGAGGGGTCAAGTCCTGGTTCCCATCATGCCACCCGGATACAACCATTTCCTCCGATTCCTCGATCTGGTGCCCGGGGAGCATTCCAGGTTGTCAGCTGGAGCCCCGGGAGCAAAAGAAAGTGATGAGGAGAGGGAAAAACAGAAAGGAGCTCTGGGCCCGAAGGATCATAGTAGCCAGAGCATGTGTGTGACATCAGTGTTTGTTCACTCACCACCGCTGTCCTTTTCTAGGTCTGGACATCTGTCCCTTACTTGGCTTCCTATGTCAGTCCCGTGTTAACAGAGAACAAGGCTATTCCACTGTCCCCCCGCTCCTTGGAGGTCCTGTGGAATGGTAAGTAGTCAGCAAAAAGGGGGTTAATCTTGGGCCTGAGGTTTGGGGCGGGGTGACAGGGAAGTTAAACTCATCCTCCTGCCCAGTTCTACCCCTTCCTTAGGAGCTGAGCGCCAGCCAAACCTGTGGAGTTTTCTTTGACCATTTTAGGGCATGTTGCTGCTTCTGAGTTGGCTGGCCCCCTGGCTGCTTAAACAAGACCTTTCTCCTGAGTTACTGGTAGTGGAAAGGGCTGAGCAACGGATTAGAAAGGCAGGCAGGAGAACTGGGACGTGGGGCAAGAGGCAAGAGGTGAAAGAAGTTCCTTTCATTTCCATGCTAAGAACTTGCCAGACAACCCTTCAGCCTGGTGGCCTTTGGGTGAAGTAAAGGAGATGGGACTTTCTTTGATCCTCAGACTTGTCTGATACAGACTAAGGGGGCCGTGGGGCTGCGGGGCAGACAGGAAGCCAGAGGTCTCCCAGACAGGGAGGTAGGTCCTCTGCCCCCGCCTCCATCATGCCCAGGAGACTGGGCTTATCAGAGGTCTGTAAGTCAGAGACATGGTTTCCTGTTGCGCATGGAGGTTGAACCCCGTGCCAGAGCGATGGCAGCTGGCGGGGGTGCTGGCGCCAGAGGAGCGTGTCTGCTGTTCACACAGCTGCCCTGGCGAGTTCGTCCACCTCCGCTCCTTGGAGACTTTTTTTCTTCCCTCATGAGATTCTGACAAAGTTACTGGCTCTTGTGTGTGTGTGTGAAGCATGTCATGCTTTGGCCCAAGCTGGAAGTCCTCTTCACTTTCCTCATCCTCCTAGGAAGCAGAGCAGTGACAGGGAGGACTGGCCAGAGGAGTGCTCAGAGGGAGGGGCAGTGGACAGCGGCAGCATCCCTTGGGTGGAGGCTCCTCAGGGAGAGCTCTGTCCCTCCCGCTGGCCAGCTCTGGCCCAGCTTCCCTCTACGTGGAAGAACATCCATGGGTCCAGCTCATGGATTTCCCCTAAAAGGAATGCTGTCTCGGAAAGGGCATGAAACATCAGCCGAAGCCGAGAAGTACAGGAACCTTCCCAGGAATGCAGTCCTGTCGGAACCCCGGGCCCTGTGCTCACGCGTCTGGGAGATAGTGTGCCTTTTAACGGTACTCCCCGCCAGGCCTGACTCACAGTCACACCCCTCAGATGAGGGAGTTGACTTTGAAGAGTTGGGGGCCTTTCCAGCATGGTCATCTGCTTTGCGCTAGCCAGCGAGTCCCTCCTTACCCCCGACGCTGACAAGCTTCCCCAGGGATAAAGCATGTGGCAACTGCTTGGGTCATCACTGGGAAACGGGAGAAAGAAGGACAGGCGTCATGGCGATGGGGATTGGGAGGTGGAGTAGTGAAGACAGAGGATGAGAGGGAGGCAGACACCGGAAGTTTTGCAGGTGAGGTTTGTCATCGGTTTGGAGGCTAGCAAAACTGCTGCTGACTTCTGAGGCCAGTGAAAGTCTTTCCCTCTGTCCGTTTACAGAACAGAAAGCACAAGCTGGTGGGCAGGCTGGGAGGTGGAAGGAAGTGGCCAGTTATGATAGAGCTGAACAAGGGAGGTCCAGACAGTCAATGAACCTCTTCCCTGGAGACAAGCTAGTCTTCCCACCCAGGCCTGGGTGTCCGAGAATTGGCAAGTAAATTTTGTGTAAGGTTGAGGGAGAGGCACATCTCTGAGGCAGAAGAGGAGGTGACACACCCTAAGATTCCAGAGCAGTGTGGTCTAGTAGAATGATCTACAATGATGAAAATGTTCACTGTGCATTTCCATTTGTTGGCCATATGAGGCTGTTGAACACTTAAAATGGGGCAGTTGTGACCGAGGAACTAAGTTATAGGTGGCTGTAAACAGCCACGTGAGGACTACCTCACCCCAAGCCCATTCCTAAGTGGTAGGGGTTCCGAGAGAAACAGGCCTCCTGCCCTCATGCCGCACACAGGTCTGCAGGGAGGCAGTCGGTCTGCAGCAGAGGGCCTGTGTGAGCTGTGATGACATGGGACAGAGGGAGACCACGCTGCCACAGGGCAAGACAGAGAAGGTTCTCAAAGGAACTGCCGACCTCCCTGGGGGCAGGAGGGGGTCACGGAAGCCCAGCAGGAGAGGAGCTGAGAAAGTGGACAGTCAGGCTGCGGGTCACATGCGCAGAGTCAGTGGCCCTCAGGCAACTGTAGTCGTGCAGGGCAGCAGGAGCACAAGGAAGGCCTACAGAGCAGGCTGCAGGCCAGACTCCTGCCCCTCAGGGAAGGCCTACAGAGCAGGCTGCAGGCCAGACTCCTGCCCCTCAGGACTCTGGACTTTAGCTTAATCTCTGGGTAGCGTTCTAAAGAAATTCTCACCCACTGATGCTAGCAGTAAAGGGAGGAGAGAACACAAGAGATTCCAAGGCGCCATCCTTTAGAGATACATTCTGAAGCCTGCTGAAGTTGTATAGTGTATCAGGATTCTGTTAAAGGAACCTGGGAAGGGGAAAAAGTGGGGAACAGAAATGGAACAAGATTGGCCCTATAGTGATAATTACTGAATCTAAGTGTTAAGAATATCTTCTTGCTATTTTTGTATGTGTCTGAAATTTTCTGTAATAAAAATGTACACATATAGATTCTATACTTATAGGTATATTTATCTGGTTAAAGATGATAAATTGAACACATGCTTTTATCTCTGCTTTCTCTTCAAACATCATCAAAGTAAGAATAAAAATGGTCTCAGCACCAGATCAGAGAGAATGGGAGAGGAGATTACAGCCAAGGAGAGGTTCCATCACATTTTTGGAAGATGGAAAATGGAGAAGTGAGCAAGGCTAAGAGAATTGCTTACCCAATACCTGCAAGGGGAATGCTAAGAAATAAGCCCATTTGTGGTCCAGAACCCCGCAGGGCTCAGGACACGGAGGTCCAGAAGACAGAGGAGGTAGGAGATGAAAATAGGCACCAATTCAAAGGTAGAGGCCCAGCCTTAGCAGCAAGGTCCCTTTCTTACGCTGGTGGGAGTTGGAAAGTTATTCTCCAGAACCAGGGACCCCAGGTACAGTAGAAAGTAAGAGACAGGGCATGTACTGTGTGAGGGAAACCATTCCAGCAAGCCAGCTGTTCAGATCCCCAGGCACCAGCAGCCAGGAGGCAGGAAGACTCCACAGAGAAGTGGAACAATTCCTAGGCAGAAGGAGACATGCTGATGTATGGGACTGCTCAAGGAGAGTCAGGTCTGGGTGCAATTAAACTTTAGGGAAGCCCACCAGTTGTAAAGCCTCAATAGCTTCTTTCAGGCTTCTGAAGATACTAGGGACCACCTGCCATTTGAAAAAAAAAAAAAAAATCCTCCAAATACCTTCTAAATTCTGAAGAAAATTATTTTCAATTGATCAAACCCAACTTAATTAATATGGGAAAATATAATAAAGTTGTGGGGAGAGAGGAAGTTGTAGGTAATGAAGGACCCAATGGAATGGGAACAGAAGGTTCCTGAGACAGACTCTCTAGGGGTCAGATGGTATTAAGGGAGCACTGACTTGTTTGATCATTAAAAAAAAATAGCATTTAGAAAGGTGATGTGGTTCTTTTTGTGCAATTTGGGAAGACTTCAGTGATGGAGATGTGAATTTAAAAGGGAGGAAACAGCAGTTTGTTCTGGAAATAAAATATAGTCACTGTACATTACTTGACCGAATTCCACAGAACTTACGAGGTCATTGTAAAATAAACAAAATACTGCTTATTATTTAGAAACATGGAGGTAAACAACTAAAAGCAAAGAACTTCTAGGGAGTGGGTCACAAAGGTGATAGAAAGAGAATAAAGGATTGTTCTTTTACATTATAAACACTGAGAACCAATTTCCTTTTCAAACCGTGTACGCTATACTGTTTTGATCAGAAAAAAAATGTTATGAATGGGAAGTTAAGAAGAGAGTAGATATAAACCGATGAAGTTAACAGTAAAGAAAAAAAATGATATCTAGTACTTATGTAGTCTTAACATTCATAAGATACTATTCAAAGCATTTTACTACTATACTTAATAGGATATGATACTTTTTATATTATAATATATATAGTATTGTAAGATGTCATAGTACAGTAACAAAATCCTTCCAGCAACCCAGTTGTTACTGTCACTATTTTACAGTTACAGAAACTAGTCCAGTTCTCACAGCTAGTAAATGGCAGGGCAGGGTTTAGACTCAGACGGATGGCTCGCGCCCTTCACACTGGTGGACACAAGGAAGTGAAGAGTTGAAACAGGCTTTATTTGTGTTTGCTTTTCATTGGTAGCAGGAAAGAAGAGCCAGGCAGGAAGATGGACACTTGGGCTGACCCAGTGTTCTTAGACTCTTGCCAGAGTCACTGTGAACGGCAAGGAAAACAAAGGGGGCCTGTGAGTGTCGACAGGAGAGCTCCGAGCGGAGCTGCCGGGCTTAGCCGGTTGGGACAGAGGAGCTGCACTGGCTGAAGAGAGTGAAGGGGTCGAGAAGGGAATTGGGGCGAGTGAAAGGGCAGAGGCTGTGTGCAGCAAAGCTGGGGCATTCGCTTTGAAGAGCTGACCATGGGTTCATTCATGCACCCGTGTGTGTGTGCACACGCCCACCACTGGTCCACTGGATGCTCCCAGCGTGCCAGCAGGGCTGTGAGAGCCCGTCAGTTTTCATTTTGGCTTAATAACGTTTTCAGTCTGTCTCTGTCTACCCCAATCATTTTGGTGGCCACGAGACTTGGCTGTGCTTGGGTAACACAACCCTAAACCACTCAGCAGAGGAGCAGTGCCCGATCGTGCCAGGGCCCAGGGCATGTCATAACGGCGCGGGAAGTCTGTGGAGTCAGGGAGGTAGAGGCATGTGGCGATGTGACATCGGGTCATCTGTGAACGTTGCTGTCATGGTGGATAAGGTGGAGGTGGCCCTCTTCCCTGAATGTGGTGAGGGGCTACTGAGCAGAAGGCCAGTAGATCAGGAAGGACAGAAAGCCGCGTCATAAACACTTCCGCCTTTCCTCTTCCCCCTTCACTGCAGTTACCCCTCCGTCATGATTATCTGTACTGCTTCTCCTCTGGAGTAAGGCAGTAGCATCTCAGCTGGCCTTTCTGGTCACCCTCAGTGTGACACTTGTTCATTTCCACCCCTGCTCTGGACATGGCGTTTCCCCTTCGCGAATCCCCTATCACCTCACGCTATCACTTCATGTCATTTTCATCTTCATTTTCTCTCACGACTGCCTAAGCCCACAGGCAGAAGGCTGAGGCCGTATCCAGCTTACCTCTACATTCCAGCATCTAGTCAGCGCCTGGAATGTGGGAAGTACTCAGTAACTTCTTTGGGATGAATGAGTGATTCATGTTCTTCCTTTTGGTCCATACATGTGTCTTGGCTACATGTTATCTCCTCAGCTAGCAGGCATTGCTCTCTGAAGTTCCAGACCCAACCTGGATTGGAAACTTCTTGAAAGCAACCACTGACGAGTGTCCCTGGGGGCCCAGAGCCGGTTGCTGTTGCCTGGCGACTGTGTGTCACTGTGTATGGGGAGTGAAATGAGGGCACGGGTGTTCATGGGGCTGGTTTCCCAGCTGCCCAGCCTGACTTCCCACAGTCAGCAGGACGGACCTGGAAATGTCGGGGCTGAAGACCCTGGAGCACGTGGCAGTGACGGTTTCCATCACCCACCCACGGCGTGGCAGCTTGGAGCTGAAGCTCTTCTGCCCCAGTGGCATGATGTCCCTGGTCGGCGCCCCCCGCAGCATGGACTCGTACGTACTCCTGCCCGCGCCTCCTGAGCGAGCCCGGCTGCCCTGGGCAGCGGGAAGCCCTGAGTGCGTGCTCTGTGCAGGTGCCTACTCAGCACTGCCCTTTGCCCCCACTCTCTCTAACGCTTGGGAAAGCCACACAGGGTAGACTTTGTCACCTCCTTTGACGCACGAGGAAGCATCACTGAACTAGTCGGTGCCTGAGAAACGAAGACTAAACCTGCGTCTGCAGGACTCCCGAGCCTGTGCTTGGTCCACATGTGCTTTTGTCGCCACGCTCCATCGGCGGCAGCCCGTAGCCATCCGTCCCCAGGGGTGGGCAGTGTTGGGGCACCCTCCCAAGTCGCTGAGGCTCAGACAGCTGCTCCTCCTTATGGTTACTGCGGTAAGGAAAGACCACTTCTGGCTGAAGGCTTCAGTTCCCTGCTTCCTGCCTCTCCTTGTTGCCCCTAGGGACCCCAACGGTTTCCGTGACTGGACCTTCTCCACCGTGCGATGCTGGGGGGAGAGAGCGAAAGGCGCCTACAGACTCGTGATCAGGGATGTAGGTGAGGCGCCTGCCCTTCCATCAGGGCCCCGCCTGTCGACACCTGGCCCCTCTGGATCGCAGGGTCCTCAAGGAAATTGTCCCATGCAGCATGTGGAACACACAGGGCTGCCGCTGACCACGAGGGCCAGTGCCAAGACCCAAACCCCAAGCCAAACATGGCGTCGGTGTCTAACAGTGTCATTTATCCTGCCTCTTGTGTTCCGTGGAGAAGTGACTGATCCATTTTTCCTCAGGATAGCAACACAAAATTCCTTGTTGAAACCACATTTCAAGTCCTTTCACATATAATCATCCTTCGGCCAGCCCTGGTAGGCAGGTAAGGGCAGGACTAATTTTCACCATTTTTTTTTTTTTTAAAAACTGAGACCCACCCAGAGGTTTGATGTAATTTGCACCAGGTCACACAGAATTCAGTGAGGAGACTGGAAATGGCACCCAGCCCTTCCAACTTCCTGTCAAGTTAGGTATTCACTGGCCTGGTGGCTTTCAAAACCTTTCTGTAATTTAGTAGACAGACATCTTTTTTCACCCCAGCAAAATCCCAAGTGAAACCCCCAAGTAGAAGAGAGCTAAAGGGAAAACTTCTCTGCCTTGGAGCACCACCTTTCTGCCTCCCCTCCCCCACCCCTCCGGGTACCCCCGTGAGGTACATCTGCGAAACCCTGTGGTCTGTGGGGCTCACAGGTCGCAGACCTTGGGGGTGCATCCTGTGGGTGGCAGGTAGCAGTGCCTCTGCTGTTGGTATGGCTCATGGCCGGCCCACTTGCTGCCCTAGGGGACGAGACGGGCCAGGCCGGTATCCTCCGGCAGTGGCAGCTGACGCTCTATGGCTCTGTGTGGAGTCCCCTGGACATCCGAGACAGGCAAAGGTAAGTAAGTGTGGGGGCATTTGGGGGGCGGGGAGATGTGTGAGAGTCTGCTCTGGGGGCTCGGCCTCCTTCTGCCCCCCAGCTGAGTCTCCCAGCTCCGACTCAAGCCCACAGGGCGCCCTCTCCTTTCTGCTGTGGTGCTTCCCTCCCTCCAGCTGCAGGGCGCGGGCAGGGGGGAGAGGAGCCGGCTTCAGCAGAGCTTCCCGACTCTTCTCCACAGGCTGTTAGAAAGTGCCATGAGTGGCAAGTACCTGCATGATGGCTTCACTCTGCCCTGCCCTCCTGGGCTGAAAATCCCGGAAGAAGATGGTTACACCATCACTCCTAACACCCTTAAGGTACTAGGGCCAAGACTCAAGCTAGGGTATGCTCCTTGCTGGGATTCTCCGGGTGACTTGGGGAAGCAGGGTTGGGAAGATGTGGGCCACTGAGCACTCAGAAGGCATTCCTGGGGCCGGTGTGGGTGGGGAGTGGTCTGGGTGGGAGCAGCCATCCTAGAGGGAGAGACTGGGCATGTTGTCAGTCTGGGCTGAGCAGACAGCGGGCTTTGGGAACGTCCCTGACGTAGCTGCTTGTCTTCTCCCCAGACCCTGGTGCTAGTAGGCTGTTTCACCATTTTCTGGACCATCTACTACATGCTGGAAGTATACCTGAGCCAGAGGAGTGTGGCCTCCCTCTCAGATCGTAGGAGTGAACCCTGCCACTGGTCCCAGCGAAGCCGAAAAGCCAGGGAAGAGGGCACAGAACTTGAATCCGTGCCTCTCTGTGACAGCAAGGATGCAGATGGAGTGGAGACAGGGGGTGAGGGCCCCACCACCACCACCAGTCTCCTTGCCCCGGACCTGCTGGGCAAGGACAGAAGTGCCCTAAACTGCCCTCGTCAGCACCTACCCCCAGAACTGTTACAGGGGAAGGAGGAGCAGATTTGCTGACTGAGGGCCTGAGAAACTCGGCGTCAGAGAGGTCATTCCTTCCCCAAACTGGGGGAGCTTGGGAAGCTGCTCTGAACTCCCAGAAGCCCAGGGGAGAAGTCAGTCCTGAGGCTCACATCTGGAACCCAGAGGCTGCCGAGCACCTTCTGACTACACTCAGGGAGGGCAAAGGTCCTCTTAAGACATGAGTTACAGAGGAAGGAGGCCAATGTCAGAAGACAGTATGGCAGCCACAGGATCTTCCGCCCGCCGGGGGTGCTTGGTGGGAAGACCTCAGACAGGAGATTGGCCATCTGCTGGGTGTCCAGGCACCATCTCTGTTTCTCCTGGGCAGGCCTGTGATATGGGTCAGAGGGCCCTCACCCACATTTGGAGAGAAGGCCCCTGACATAGCCAGAGGAGCATCTCAGGAGGGCACTGCCGGGTCACTTGCCGGAAGGCTTGCAGGCGAGGCTGAGGAGACCTGGATGTGTTTCCCTCTTGAACCCAGAAACAGCCGACTTCTTCTCACCTGCCTGCCCTCCCCTGGGGCCTGGGAGGGGGTGGTAGAGCACTGGTCAAGGCCTAGCTCACGTGCTCTGAAGGCAGCTGCCTCTGTGGTCCCTGAGCAGAAGCCAGCCTTGAACACACCTTCACCATCACCCCACCCTTCATCCTGATGGATTGGTACAATGCTGCTGGCAAAGGAGGTGCTCGGCTCCCCAGGACTGTGCTGCTTCGTTAGGGGAGTCAGTGGCAGGCGTCAGCGGCTGCCACCCCAGCCCTGAGAGCAGCCTGTCTTCCTCAGCTAAGTGCTCAGGGAAAGGGCTTCGCCCACTGGGGCCAGCTGTCTGCCAGAAGGGCTGTGATGCCTTCTCCCGCTGGGCCTTCTCCCGCTGGGACCTACCCCTGCTGGGACCTACCCCTGCTGAGCTACTTGGTTGATTTGAGTTGTTTTTTAATGCTTAAGATTTGGTTTTCACAGCAACATTTTGTTGAATTTTTTTCTGCACAGCTTTTCCAAAATAAAACCTTCCACATAATCCACCCGCCTTTTCTCTGCTTCCCCAAAATGAATGCGTGCTCTCAAGACTCACACCCTCTTCTTCCACTGCTGGCTTCCTCTAAAAACTGCCCCCCCACCTCATCTCTGCCCGGGGGTCCTTTAGAGGACAGCAGCCAGGATCTATCAGCCTGGGTCTCTGCCTGTCCGCACTGCTGGAACCATCACAAGCCTGCTTAGGGCAAATCAGACGCTGCCAGCCAGGCCTGAGAAAAATTGATGTCTATATTTTTTTTCTGAATTTCAACCCCCAAAATATTCCAGCAAAAAAGGGGGGAGGTTGGGCTGGGTGACCTTCGGGGGGACATTTGCTGCCGAAGACAATGGGCTTGCCCCCCACCAGGCTGCCCCCAGCCCTTCACCCCTGCTCAGCCCACGCTGGGGAGACAGCAGAGGTGGAGGGTAGCTGGGAGGAGTGGAGGGATAAGAAGTTGGGCTGAGAGGTGGGAGGAGCTGTCCAAGAGCGGTCACTTTTGCTCAGTGACAGGCCTGGAAGCTTGGCTGGGCTGAAGGAGCTATGCAGTGTGGGTGAGCTGGCAGGAAGGCGGCATGGCAGAGGCCAGGGAGCTGGGAGGGCTGTGGCTCGGGCAGGCCCCCTCTAACTGATGATCTGCCGAGGTCGTCCGTAGCCTGTCATTCCAGCCTGGGAGGCCCCTCTATTGCTGCCCATCTGTAGACCAATGACATGCTTTCCCTCCTGCAGCTGGCTCTCTGTGAATTCCCTCTTATGCTCCTGGGCTTTCCTAGAAGAGGAGAACGGGGAAAAAGACTGCATTTTCCAGTGATTTCTTCTACTACCTCCCGGCTCCACCCCATTTCCTTGTCTCGGGTGTCTTGTTCAGCTAGCTTGCCCCACAGGCGCAGAAGACCAGTTGAGCACAGGAGGGTAGAAAGGAAAGCCTCAAGAAGTGTCAGAGACCCTCTTCCCCACCCCTCCGGACGCTTCCTACTTTCTGGCTATCCGCTTCCCCAAACCACTGGCCCTCACTGGTTACCCCAAGTCAACCCCCTCAGGCAGACACCCAAGCTTAGGGTTCAGGGGCCCCGGTGGCCACGTACTTCATAAACCAGTTGGGATCGCCACGGTAGTGGCCATCATTCTTGGTCACTGCCAGGCTCCCCAGCGCCATCAGGGTCCTCTGCACAGCAGCCATATCTTTGCCTATGAGAAGAGAGGGAAAGGATGACCGTCAGAACTGTAACAGGACTCCAAGGCTAGACCTGCCCTCACCTCCCCGCAAAATGGCCAAGCCAGGGGCAAAGGTTGTCCCAGATTTCACAGAGGCTTCAGCAGGCGCTACAGGATGCCCGTGAGTGGGCGTGGTATTCCCTCAGCACAGCCCATTCCCGCTCTGCAGCGCCAGCCTCTGCCTCTGCCTCAGCCTCCCGTCCTCCACCTGCTCCTGTTCTCTCTACCTTCAAAGAGGTCAACTGTCTGGAACATGTCCGTCTTGGTGACCCCATAGTCCTCAGCTGCTTTCAGGAATTGCGCCACCTGTTCCATTTGCTTGAAGACCATGGAGGGTGGGTTCTCAGGCACCTTCACTGGCTTGGAACCGTCAGGATACAAGCTGTTCACCAACTTGCTCAGAATCTGCCAGGCACAGAACACAGCTTGGCCCTTGCCCACAGTAACTGCCGCAGCACCACAGCAACTCAAACAGACGGGCACAGCCCCTGGCCCTCCCAGGGTGCCACTTACCACGCCGTTCTTCAGCCAGACCTGGAAGCCCAGGCGCCCACGGTCTGGACGACCCACATCGGGGCCACACTGCACTATGATCCACTCCACCAGCCGCTCCTCCAGCTCCTCATCATACTTCTTCTCGATTTTGGATTGCACTTCACGGCTCATGCCATAGGAAGGACCTTTGTTGGCCATGTTGGGAGAGAGCTACAGCAGCACCGGCCAGAAGAAACAGGGTCAGAGGATCAGAGAACAGCTGTCTCACCTGCACTGGGCTGGTCTCGCTGTGTGCAGGGGCACTCGACTTTCCAACCTGTACCCACCGCCCCTTCTTCCTCACTGTTTTTGCACAGCACTCCCTGCACCCCCACCCTGGGCCGGGGCCATCCCCCCTCAGTCCACGCAGTGAGCCTCTCCGAGCTTGGAGACCAGATCTTTGACAGTCCAGGGCAGGGGTCGGCAAACTGATTTTGTAAATGAACTTGCAGGCCGTGTGGTCCTTGCTAGAGTAGCCGGAAAGCAGACTTGGATGATACATCAAAAAATGAGTGTGGCTTTGTGCCAATAAAGCTTTATTTACAAAACAAGCCACAAATTTATTTACAAAACGAGCCTGGCATTTAGTGCTGGGCCAGTTTGGCAATCCCTGGTCTAGAGCATTTTTTTTCCTTTGCCAAGATTGTCCAGAGGCAATGGGACGACCCTCCAGAGAAGGCCCCACCATCCTCCAAAATAAAGCTAGCAGGTGTCTTTGCCCAGGGAGCTGTGAAGTGGTTTCCCAGCTGAGTCTCAAGTTATAGCATTACCTCCCACTTTGCCTCCCCTCCGCCACACACAATTTTATCCTCTGACCCAAAAACTAGAACTCTAAAATGTGTTCAACTCAGCCTCTGGCCTGTAGCTAAAGAAGCTTCCATGTACCCACCCTGACAAGGTCTAGAAGCCACCAACGCTGAGAGTTTTCATTTCAGGAGCTGCATTTCCTCAGGGGAGCCATACCAGAGACAGAAAATGGTGACCTCTGGATTTTCCCTCATGCCCTCAGGCTTTCCCCACAGTAGTAGCTTGAGTAACCAAGAAACCAGAGTCCTCTAGGGAGAGCCCAGAGTCAAGCATCTGCCAGCTGGGGCATGGGAAGCCGCACCCAGTCCAGACCAGCAGCCTGGAGCTGACAGTCCTGGGAGAGCCCCACTAACGAGGATGGTGGGGGCAGACATGAATGTGGCCAGTCAAGAGGAGCCGACCTGGCCACTAGGGGCACTCTAGGCTGGTAGACCTTCTGCCCAGAGCTCTCCCTGCCCAGAGCTATCAAATGGGGCCAGATGTAAGCCCTGGCCAGAGAGAGGTCAGAGATGGGGAGAGAGGGAATGGTCCGAAGAGGGGAACAGTTGGCATGTTCCCCCAAACCCTCTCTGGTCAGGACTGAGGCCCCATCACGCTCTGCCCTCCGAGGGAAGCGGGGTATGCGTCATGGCGTCACAGGGTCCAGGTCAGTCACCCAGTGCCACTTGCCCTAACCTTCCTTTGCCCACGCTGACTTGTTTTGAGCCAAGTCCCCATCGGCACCACGAGGACAAACTTCTTTATGTCAGGGGCTGTGAACATTCCCTGAGGCAATGCCTGTGATGCCCTGGCAGACTGAGCCGCCCCTCAAAACTGAGCTCCTCAAAATGGCCATCCTGTGCCCCCAAGGGCAGGTGAAAAACACAAGTGATATTCCACACCAGACTGCACCGTTTCCAACATCATTTCCTGAGGGGAGCACAAGATTTCAGTAAAGAACACTAGATGGGCCCATCTAAATTCCGGGCACGGGCAACTCTCTTCTCTGAGTCCTCACTTGTGTATTTGTGACTTGAGGGGAGTCATTTTCTCAGCACTAACACCCTCTCCCAGCCAGGGATGCCAGTGAATCCAGAGTGCTCCGCTCTGTTCACTACAAACAGAGGGAGAGAGCCCAGACCTCCCTTCCCACCCACTTTGTACCTCACCCCCACTTCCCCACCACCCAGCGTCCCCTAGGACGGCAGGGTGGCCATCACCTGCAGGTCAGCCCTTCCATCACCCTCCTCGCCTCCCTCAGTCCACCTGCTCAGAGGAACGGGGTGAGCTGTGTCCCTCACACACGCAACTCTTAGAGTTGGGAGAGCAATCAAGGTATCTGTGACAGGGATACCAAATTGTGCAGCCGCAAGATCTAGAGACAATATTTGGATTGGGGTCTGACCAAGAAGGAAGGAGGATGAAATGCACCCCACTCCACCCTCGCCCTTCCTTCTCATGGTAATAGTCTGAAAGTGAAGAGTTCCGAGGAATCCTAGGGACTGCCCTGAGGAAGACCTGTGCGGTACCATGCGGGAGCTCTGGGAAGAGGAGATGGGGAGGGGAGAGCTGGGGCCGGCCCAGCAGGGCCTCTCTAGACCAGGCCTGGTCAGGCTGCAAGGCCAGCCTGAGGTCCGCTTTGCCCCTGCCCCATAACTCTGTCGGCCTCCCCTCCAGGGGCTGAGGCCCAGCAGCGGAGAAAAAAACAAAGGCAGGGGTTCCTTCCAGCAACAAAAGCAGAGCCAGCAGTCTCCCCAGGACTGCTGTGTACCCCTCTCTTCAAAACAAAACACACAAATTAGAGCACAGGGGGCTCTCTGAGTGGCAGGGGGGTGGCTCATCTACACCCCAAGAAGGCCAGCCCTCCTCTGCGGCTCCCTTCTCAGTAGAGCCACTAAGGGAACCTCTGGGCAGGGCCCAGGGTAGCAGGTGTGCCCAGTCCTGAGGGGTCCTGGGCAGTGCCCACCTGCCCTTCTCTGCCCGCACAGGGGTGAGTGCCCACCCTCAGGCAGTTAGGGTGTGCCTGAAAAGCGGCGGTGTGAGCCTGAGGACACTGCTGTCCAGCTTCTGTGGATTCACGCCCCTCCTCCTCTCCTGGAGCCTCCCCTAGGTGGACAGCAGACAACAAAGCCTCTGGTCTAGCCCAACAACACATCCAGTGGGTGTGACTGGCTGAAAACTGGGACCTCCCTGTCCTACCAGGTCCCTGTCGATCCCACAGCACCAGCCCAGTCGCTGGCCATTTCAATGAGCCCTGGGCCACTCAGTTTGAGACAGTGGGTCTCCAGCCGTCCTGTCCCACCCAGGACGCCAGGCCCAAGCCTCCCTCTGGAGATAAGGAATGGTCGCTGATGGACAGGGTGGGCACCCCCAGCCAGGGAGCTGGGACCAGGGTCCCCTGAGAGGCCTGCCCGCAGAATAGCCCCCTGCCCAGCTTCTCTCCACCCCTGGAACCATGCACTTACAGGTTTCCTCGGGGTGTGCAGGAAGGAGTGAGCTCTGCGTCTGGAAGGGACAGACAGGATGGGGTGCTGGCGGGGTGAGGGGTTTAAAGGGCTGCTGCTGTGATGATGTCACCCTCCCCCGCTGGCTCACCCCTCAGACCCCTCCCAGCTGGAGGAAGCCGGCTCCGTTCTCCACCCCCAGGCCCCCTAGTGACTCCACATAGGCTCCATATTTGGGGAAAGACACCAAGTTGGAGCAGTCTGCCCGGGGCTGCCCGAGACATTCTCTGCGTGCTTTGGAGATGGAGCTGCGGGGGGCGGGGCTGCGCTGGCGGGAACGGCGGGAAAAGCCTTTTATGGACAGGACCCTGAAGGCTTTCCCTGCTGTCTGGACTTAGGCCGCTCCTTCTTCCCTGTTTCCCTGCCCCTGGGTTGAGGAGGAGGGGGAGATTCAAGAGGGTCTGGCCAAAGAGGAAGGGGCTGGGGTGGTGACACCGGCCACTTAGGGGTGGACAAAGCAGCCACCCTCTCCTGGGCTTTTAGCTCTAGAAGGTGGGAACCAACCTTCACTGAGGCCCTACGACAAGCCAGGCTCTGTGGGATGTACAAACAGCTGCGCTCTCAGGCCGTAACTACCTCATTGTTCAGATGAGGAAACTGAGGTTCAGAATGCCGCAGGCTTGGGTAAGACCATGGCACAAGGCACAAGTGCCTGAGCCTGGCCTCCCTTCAGACCCTGCGTGGGAGCAGAGGCTGTTGACCCACTCTTCAGTGGCACCACCCACTTGCTCAAGTTGAGAAGTTTCAGTTGTTGGGAGGAGGGGGGGGCGTATTTCCTTATATGCTTTTGTTGGGGGAGGGGGTAGGGTTGGATTTGACAATTCAGCAGCAGCTCAGTCATCCAGAGGGTCCCTAAGGCCTGGCAGGAGACTGACAGGTTGCTAACAGGTCTCCCTTCAGCAGTCTCTACCTGTCCTGGAAAACAGACTGGACCCCCTCGCACCAGAAGGAGCCCCACCAAGATCTTGTGTGTTCCTGGCGTCAGGGGTCTCAGGAAAGGATAGGAAGTCAGGAAAGGAAGGCCTTGGGCTGCCCGTGGTGGCAGCGAGAGCAGGGAGGACACTCCTGCCCCATGCTGGGGCAGCTGGGCAGGGAGACCCACTGGTCTCCACCACCCACTCATCACACACAGCCCCAGGGACATCAGGAGAGAGGCCAGGGCAAGAGTGAGGGGAGAGGCCACCCACATAGTGGTGCATAGAGCTAGTGCACCCCCCAGTGGTGACTGCGGGGAAGAGCAGGGAGACCGCTGCAGCCTGGCCACATGGAAACAAGCCCTGGAGTCACCACATTCCACAGCCCCCCTCACCCCCCCAGTCTTGTCCTCCAGAGCCTATTGAAGCCTAAACCGACCTTCCAGGGTCATTTCAAAACTCTTTCCCATGCCCCCACCAGAACTCGGCCTCAGCATGCACCTGTCCGGCAGTCAGCCACGGAATCCTATCAGAAGCAGGAGTGAAGCTGCTGGTCAAGTGCTTGGGGACCAGGTGAAGCCATCAGTCAAGTGGGTGGGGGCCAGGTGGGTCAGAAAGGTGGGGTCTCAGGTGAGATGGCTGGCTATGACTTTTTCTCCACCTCACACATGGCTGTTGCTCAAATGAGCGAACGAGGGGTGAATCAAGAAACTGTGTTCCCACTGAAACTGCAACGGAGAAAGGCACACCAGAAGAACTGGAAAATGGAGGCGCCCACCCTGCCCTCATCCTCAAAATCTCCATCCAGAAAAGGGGAAATGAGTCAGGGGCCAAGAAGTGTGTCTGGTTGTTTCTTTAATTGAATGCAGACTCATTCATAGAAAACAGAAATGCAACCAGAGCGTGGAAACAGACATTAAACGGAGTTCTGAAATCCAGACCACCTCCTCTCCCCATCCTCAGAGAGAGCTAAAAAACAGGTGGGGGAGAACAAAACACATTCCCATCTCCAAGGCAGAGGCCGACCTGACCCCCCAGCCTTGGCATCGGGAACGGACCAGGTAAGACGAAGGGGCCAAGGACTGGAGCAGCCAGAGGCCCAGGGCCGGGGCCACTCGTGAAAACGCCACGTGTGTGTGGGGGACGGACACAGAACTTGGCTGAAGGCTGGATGGAAACAAGACCCAGCCGTGGGTGGACATAAGAGCCACCCCTAGGGGGAGGCCAGGCTGGGGACAGAGCGCAGAGGTCATGTCCCTTCCGTGAGCCCCTTCCTCAGTTAGGCACTGGGGCTCCTGCAGCCAGCCACACAGGAGGCAGGGCGGGCTGGGCTCTGTGCATCCCCCTCCTTTGCCCTGGAACATTCTTGGGCAGTGTCAATGGCACTGAGAGGCCCCCAGCAGGGGCTTGGCAGGACTAAAAGCCTGGAGGGACAAAGGAAGAAATGGGGCGGGTTGCTTTTTCCCTCCCATCCTGGTGCCAGTCCGGCCGAAGGGATGGAAGGTGACCTCAGAAGTCAGGCCCTCAACTGTGGGCCAACTGTCACTGCTAAAGAGCCAGCCCCAGCACAGGTCAGCGGGACAGACAGCACTGCCCAGGGCCCCTTGTAGGCCTTAGCACCATAAGGCCGGCACTAGCTGGCCAGCCCCCAGAAACCTATGCCCCAACCATCTGGGTGACTGCATGGGCAGTGGTGGCAGCCACGTACAGCCCCAAAGAGAAGCAGGGCCCGGCTGCACGAGAGCAGCAGGTCTCAGACCAATGCTCTAGAGTCTGAGAGGGAAAGCGGGCTTTGGGTCCCAGGTTGAGGGGAGGGAAGAACGAATGGACAGAATGCATGGCATGAGAGGGGCAGGGCAATACTTGCCTCCTTCCTCCGCTGGAGGGATAAAGGAGAACCAACAGTCCCAACACTGACAATAAAGCAGCAGTTTGGCCAAAGCCTGGACTTCAGAGGAGCAGACCTCCTCCGCAGCAGAGGGCAGCTGCACGGCTCAGGCCACCCTCAAGACTGTCCGCGCCTGGTCCAGGCTAGTTCTTGCTGTCCCACCAACACCTAGCCCGGGCAGCGGGGCTCGGACTCACACCCCCGCGCTAGCGAGGCTCTGGGCAGCAGGCTGAGGCTCGGGGCCTCACGAGAGAAGCAAGGGGTCCAGCTCCCCTAGAAGACGTAGATCTTGTCCCGCTGCACGGTATCCAGGTCATCGTCCAGCGTGAGCAACACCTGGGGGTAGACACGGGTCAGGCACAGGCAGAGGGCGCTGCCCGCCACCACGACCCAGCCTCCCCCTCAGGTGAAAAGACTCACATACCAGGAATGACCCAAACATGGCAATGGAGGACAGGAAGTGCCAGATGTCATGGTCATCAAAGAAGTCCAGCAAGATGCAGTCCCGGTTGTGCTCCCGGGACTCTGCAGGGGTTTTCTGGGGAGGGCAGGGCGAGCCCCTGTCACACTCCCCAGTCCAGCCTGCCCTGTTTCCCCATAGGTGCCCCAGCTGCCCTCGGCCAAATGGACATCTAAGAATCCAGCTGCTCCCCTGGGACGCGGGAAGCCCTTGGCTTTCACTTGCCCTCCGCCCCCTAGATTCTTCATCCCTCTAAGAGCAGAGGGCTGGGGTTACCTCGAGATTCTAGAGCCCCTTCCCCAACCCCTTGGCCTCTGTCCCCACTCCAAACAGTCCTCCTCCGGGTTTGTTTCTTCCCTCTGAAGTACTATTGTCACACACCCCTGCCCGGGACGACAGTGGCTGCGGCCTGTGGGACTCAAGATCTGACATCTTCTACCCAAAGCCTCTATCCAACAAACACTGGCAGGACATCCGGCGGGGGGTGGATGGGGGGCAGTCTGTGCCACACATGGGGGCTACAGAGGTGACCAAGAAATACCTGCCCTGCCCTCACCCATGCCCAAATCTGCCTCCCCTATGTCTGCCTCAGGAGCATGTCTTAGGTCGCCACTCCTCTGGGCCGCAGGAACCTCCCACCCCTCAGGTCTTTAAGACCTAGAGCAAATCCTCCCTCCCCCAGGAAGCTTTCCTGGATGTCCTGTCTCATAGAGGCCTCTCACCTTCTACTGTCCTGCCCACACACTTCATCTCATGTATCATACTGGAACTAGTAAGCCAGGAGTAAGTCTCTCCCTCCGAAACTAGATTATTCAGGTTTCAAAGGAAGAGGCCATGTCAGGCTTAGTGCTAACCACAGAGCTGAAGGTGTAGCCATAGGAGGTGCCCATGAGAGTGAGAGCCTGACCTGTCAGGCTGTAAACCATAGCTGTGCCACTCATGAGCTGGGTGGCCCCGGGCAGGTCATTGAACACCCCTCACCCTCACCCACCACCAGCTGCATGAAGGCAGCCGGCTGTTCGGGGGTTTAACCAAGAATGACTGGTCAGCTGCCCTCCCCTCACCCCCACAGACCTCAAGGATGGTTACTCACTTGCCAGGTGCTGAGTCCCTGGAAGAAGAAAAAGAGTGCAAAGCCCCAGACCACCGAGGTGCAGATGATGCAGAGCAGGGGGATGAGCTTGATCCTCTCCCCGCTCCGAAGCTGGCAGGGAGGGCAGAGAATGATGTTCATCTCCCTGCCTGCTCTGGGGCTGCTCTCCTGCGCTCTTCCCAGGTTTCAGGAGGACCCTTTAGGAAGTTCTGGGATTCGTGCCATCACCTCGTATGGCTGCAGAGCTCAGTTGGTGCCCATACAGCAGCCTGGCATCTTCCCCTCTGACCCATTCTGGCTGGGCCTCTGTGGGCTCGGCCCTGGCTGGCAGGAGGCCCCTAGGGCGGCAGGAGCACGCAGAGACCCAAGGCCACCGCAGGCTCGGTGAGCCCCCCCTCTTCTCAATCCTGCGCAGGGTGGGGCTCAACCTGCTCCCAGTTTGAGGGGGCACTCTTCAGCATGGAAGGGGTTCTGAAAATGACCCCAGAGGGCGCCTGCAAAGGTTTTAGCCTCTCTCCTCCTCGAACCCCACTGACACAGGCAGGTGGACGGAAACGTTCCTCACTGCCTCCTGTGCTGCGCCATGAAGACTGTGCCCATCTCCTTCCCCCACAAGCGGAGCAGCTGGCAGACTCAGCTGTCCCCACTCACCTTCATAATAATGTAAAAGGCAAAATAAAGAAGCAGGTTGCAGATGCCAATGACCAGCAAGTAGGAGGCGAAATCATTGGGGCGCTCGATGAGCCCGTAGGCGGCCCTGGAAGGTGGGGAAAGGAGGCCTGATGAAGCTGGGGGGATGGAGCAAGAAACGGGCTCTCGCTGGCCCCTCCCCCATGTTTCTCGTGATGCGGGCTGGGTTCAGAAGCCCACAGACAATTCTAGGCCTCCAGATGCCACCACGTCTCATGGCCAAAGCTCTGAATTTGTCCGTGGCTCCCCAGCCAGTGGCCTGCCAAGCCCCCCAGCTGTCCGCCCGGCCAGGCTACCCCAGACAACGGCTAGACTCACAGCGACCAGTTGATGATGTTGCCCATAACCAGCAGCACCATGCGGTCCTGGAGGGAAGCAGAGACACGAGGACTGAGAGGGGGAAAGAGACAGGGAGAGAAGTGGAAGAAGGCCCCAATCAGCTGGTCCCCCCGCTATTCTGGGCCCTCAGCCACCTGCCCTCACCCCAAACACACACACACACACACACAAGCCCGGGGAAGAGGCAGATGGAGGAAGAGGGTCTGGGGGGCTGGCAGGTACCACGTAGAGGGGCCCGCTGCACTGCCGGATGCAGTCCGTGTAGAGCACGTGGAGGATGCGCCGGCAGATGCCCGAGTCTGCAGGGAGGGAGGGAGCTCATTTTTGCAGGCCCCCGCCATTCCCAGCCCCGTTCTGCACACTGAGAGGAGCCCAGGGCTGCTGAGGTCACGGCTCTCCAGGAGCCCACCCTATGACTCCTCTCCTGAAGAATTTCTCCTCCAATGAGAGGGCAGAACCTGTGAAAGTGTCCCGGGTGTCCAGGTCCCCCAGGCCGGCAACCCCCTCACTCCCTGGGGCCCCCCACGTGCCCTGCCCTGGGCATGCCCTTACCCAGCTTCCAGCGGCCCATGTAATAGAGCTGAATGCTGAGGAGCAGGGTGGCGGTGATGTGAATCACGGAGAAGACGATCCAGAACGCAGTGTTCTCTCTGCCGAAGACCTAGGGGCCACCGAGGGAGGATGGAAGTAAGGAGGGCCGCGGAGAGCTGCTGTGCGGCCTGCCCTTCTCCGGAAGGAGCGGGGGCTCGCCACTCAGCCAGGCTGCGGCTCTCTGAGGGCCCGGGGAAGGCCCCCTGGAAGGAGCAGGGCTCTCTCCCGGGGGCGGTCGGCGGAGGGTGTGCATGTGTCTAAACACGAATGCACCTTCCCCGTGGGATGAGCAAACAGGTCCCGGCCTCACCACGCCCAGCACGGAGAAGAAGATGACGACGGCCAGGCAGGCGTAGGCGCTGTAGGCGCTCGCGTTGATGTCCGGGTGCCGCTTCTGGTAGAGCTTCAGCATGCAGAGCCCGGCGATCATGTACATGAACGACGTGTCTACATGGCAGAAACCCCCACCCGCCTTGGCATGGGGTCCGGGCCAGCCCGTCGGACTGCGAGGGGCCCCCACACCTCCTCACGCAGAGCAAACCGGTGGGGACCTGGCACTTGGGCTCCAGTCCCTTGACCCCCGCGGCACCACGCTGCCCAGTCTGACTCCCCAGACAAGGCACCTTAGCTGGTTCTCTGATACTAGGGCCACAGCTCATCACGTGCGTTTTCTCAGCACTGCACATGCCTTTCCCCTGGACACACAGCCGGCCGGGGCGTGAAATAGCCTCTCGTGCCTATTTCCCATACGCCAGGCCGTAAGCACATGTGCACCCGGCCCTGGGGCCTCCTACAGTGTGAGTGACCTGGGGATGGTGGAGGACAGCCACCGCTGGGGATTCAGGTGGGGGAGAGGGAAGCCCCACCCACCGAACTGGAAATTGGTGTAGTTGGGGCACACGTGGTAGCAAGCGCTGAGCAGGCCCTCCATCATCAGAGCGGTGCCCATGGCGTAGAACAGGCCGAAGTGCTTTGGAATCCCACATTCCTGGGGGGAGGAGACACAGGGAGGCTGAGCGTAGGGAAGGAAGGCAAGAGTGAGGAAAGAAGGCAGGCAGGGAGGGAGGGAGACAGGGAAGAAGGGCCCCCAAAGCAGCAGCCTGTGGGAGGAGTGGAGTGTGGGCGAACTGGGTGGAGGGCGGGGCTGGGCCATGCCTGCCATGGAGGCCTGGCGCTGGGGCCTCCGCGGGGCACTCACCAGGGCGTAGAGGTCATTGCGCACCAGGGCCCGATTGTGGTTGATCTCCCGCTGCAGGATGATGAGCAGGAAGAGCAGCCCCAGCAGGATGTAGCCCAGGTTGCTGAGGATGTTGTTGAAGGCGCTAGAAGGGGAACATGGGTTCCAGGGCCTCCTCTCATGCCCTGGACTTTTCCCAACCTGGGGGGGGGGGGGCACTGCAGAGCCCCTCCTCCCTGTGCCGGCCTTCGCCATTTGCTGGGGGAGGACCCCCGCCCCCACGAAGTCCCCACCTGAGGTTGCCCAGTGGGTGGGCGCAGAGGAAGTTGTAGTAGCAGATGTCCTGATTTCCTGTGACATTCACCACCTGCAGGCAGGAGCAGGGGGCTGCTGAGGGCACCCGCCTGGCCCGCGGCCCAGGGAGGGAACCTCATCACCCAGGCCCAGTCCATCGCGAAGGCCAGTGGCGTGCGCGCAGGGGCATACTGCCCCTGTCCCCAGCCCATGTGACTGAAAACCCGGGTCGTGAGCGTGATGAGGTTCTTGCCCCACACTACAGAGGAAAGGGAAGAGAAACCAAGACTTGGGAGTTTCATTTCATAAATCCCCACCACACCCTGGGACACAGGCCACCTCATTTTGCAGATGAAGAAGCTGATGCTCGGGGAGGCGACTTGCTCATGGTCACTGACCCGCAGAGCACAGTGGGGATTTGAACCCGGTCTCGTGACCAAAGACCTGTACTTGCTCGAGAGCCCCGGGCTGACAGGCTCTGCCCTCTGGGGCGTTGTGTCCCAGGCTGGGAAAGGCAAGCGCCAGCAGGGGAGCACTCAGGGGCCCCTCACCGTCTGATAGGTGATCACCAGCTGCACCACGGGAAGGGCGTAGAAGACCGCAATGGTGGCGATGTTCCTGAGGGGCGGGCGACCGGGTGAGGCGCGGGCCTGGGAAGCCGCCCCTCTGGCCTGCCCGCAACACCTCGCCCTACTCCGCCCACTCACCAGAAGTAGATCTGGTACTTTTTCCGCAAGACACGCTTGTCCTTGCGGGCCAGGTCGGCGACATAGAGGTATTGCTGGGGAGAAGCCGGAGTGAGCCCACTCAGCCACCGCCTGGGAGCGGCCCATCTCACCCACGTTAGGGAAAGAAGAGGGACGTCCCTCACACAGGCCAGAACTCTGTGGCTTGGGTTCCGGTGGTGGCCACTGACCAGTCGGCCTGGAGGGCTGTGGTGGAGCTCGTTTCCGCTGGAACCTAGCCCGCCCCCATCAAGCCCTTTCCTGTTGCTTCCCTGTCATGCTACCAGCAGGGGGAGACAGGCTGGAGCCTGAACCAGACTGTCCCCTCCTGGGCAGCCTCTGGCCCGGGCAGGCCGGCGCAGGGTCAGACCTTGGTGCGGATGACATTCTTATCCGAGTCAATGTCAGTCAGCGTGTCGTAGTCATCCTCCTCCACAGAGCTCATGGAGTCCAGTCGTGGCCGAGTGCCCACCGGGTCAAGGGAGCGTTCTGGGGGAGGCAGGGAAGGGGGGCTGTCTGCTGAGCACAGAAGCCAGGGCCTGTCCCCACCCTCCTGCGGCAATTGTTACAATTACTAGGCAGTGAGAAGAGGCAGATTATGGGCTGGACTCAGAACAGGGGTGGAGCTGTGCTCAGGCCCTGGGAGAGTAAAGGAGCTCCCAAGTCCCTGAGGGGAAGGGCACGGGCGAGCAGGGATGCCCAGCCTTGCCCCCACCTCTGCCCCTCAGGGAGCTAGGGCTTCCAGCCAGGACACTGAGCAGACCCCAGGCCCCAGACACAGCAACAGGAATACATTCAGTGGAAGTCATGCTGATTAGGTGCCAGGCTTGTGGGTTCTGAGGAGACACTGTCTCGCTACCCGCTGGGTGGAGACCCAGTGGGCCCTGGGGTGTAGGCAAGGGTGACAGGCTGCCTCTAGGAAGAGAACTTGCTCTTTTGCCTTCAGAAGCTTCCTCCTGTGACCTTGCCTGACCAAAGTCCCCAAGGGGCAGGACATGACACCCCCTACCCCAGCAGGCCAGGGAGTGAGGGTGCTGGCAAATGCAACAGCAAAGCAGAACACCTGGCATGGGGGTAGCTGGGGTGCCAGCGGCCAACCCTAGGGGCCAGCGCCCGCTAATCTCAGAAGACACAAGAGCTGGCAAATACGGGCATTGATGGGGAAGCCATGCACAAAGCATCTTTCTGGCCCCAGAGCCTGCTGGCTCTAGTCAACTGCCCTGGCAGAAGCTGATTGGCAGAGCAGCCCATACCCCCTCCCCACATCTACCCATGGCAATGCACAGCTGCCGCATCTGGCCAAAGGGGAGGCGCCGCTTGAACTGGTCCTGCCCTTTAAAGGAAAGGGAAAGTTACCAGGGAAGGGGGACCCGACAACAGAGGATAAGGGAAGAGAGGGCAGGGTGGACAGCAGGCCCTTCCCGGTGTCAGCATCTGGCAGAAGAGGCAATACCCACCATCACAGTTCACCCAGCCAGTACCAACCTTGCATCAGAGGACTCTGCACCCCTGGCCACTCACCCTGGTAAGTGTAGGAGAGGTCCCCTGTGCTGTCAATCAGCCGATCTGTAGATCCGGAACAGTTCTCTGTGGGGAATGCTCAGTGGTCAGGCAGGTAGGAGCCTCAGGAAGGGGGACACTGCAGCCACCCCCAAGGGCTGAGGCGCTGCCGAGGGCACGGGCATCAGCAGCGGGAAAGCACAACCTCCTGCTCTGACACGTACCAAAGGAGCCATAGTTGTAACCCTCATAAGGGGGGCTGCCAGGGAAGGAGTTGGCCAAGATCCGTGGGTGCCCTGCAACAAGAAGCCAAGGTCCCCTTAGCCTGGAAATAAACAGGGCCAAGAGGCGAGAGAAGAGAGAGGAGACGCAGAGGGTCAGGCCAGTAGCAGCGAGCACCTACACCAGCAATGCAGCTCCCTCCCGCCACCTGCCCCACACCTATGTGCATGCCCAGAGGAAACACTTGCCACTCTTTGTCCTCCCTAAAGGGAGAGAAAGTCAAGGAACAGATGCATCTATGTGTTTACAAGCAGCAGGGACAAGACCACATCAGCCTGCCCAGGCCCCTCCAGACACCCCTGGGTTGCCCTCCCTCTCCCTCTCTGGATTCCAGCTCCTCGCCCACAGCACCTGGAGCTTACCAAGAAGAGAAGCTGAGAGAGAAGGTCCCAAGCAGGAGGGAGGGTGGAAAGAGAGGGGAGAGTGGGAGAAAGGGAGAAAGAATGAAAGGTTAATAATCCCAGAGACTGAGCCACACGGCCTGCGGTGGACAGACAGCGTAGCTAGGCCCAGTGAACAAATCAAGCGGCAACCTTTAAGGCAGGCATGTGAGGGGCGCACGGGCACGCCACCCCAGCTCCGTGTCCAAATGGAGAGGGTTACTCCCAACTGAGAACCTGCCACAACCATCCCCCCCAAACACAAAGCAAACTGCCCTCCCCACCCAGGTCTTCTGGAAATACCGCTTTCTGGGCAGGCTCGGTCCATGGCCACTAGAAGGGTCTTCTTCTTCTGCCTGCAAGGACATAATCCAGAGGCACACCAGGGGGTGATGGGAGAAGGACCCTCCTATGCGAGGCTGGCCTGCCTCTCACCCTCTCTACCCCAGAACCCTGTCTCCCATCCATGACTCCCAGGCCTCCCTGGCCGGGAAGCAATGTAGGGTCTCCCTGCTTAGGTTAAGTGGCGAGGCTAGTTTCCATAGGAAGCGACCACAGACCTGCCTTGCTTCACCCCTGGATGGTGTGGAAGATTACCTGCCAGGTCATCTCCCCACATCCCCAACCCAAGTCACCCTGCCCTGGAAAGCAAGTCCACTTTACCTCCAGTTCTCCCAACAGGCCAAGAGGATGGTCAGCAGGTAGAAGGAGAGAAATATGCCCAGGCAAAAGAGCATACCACCAACGTAGGCCTCGGCTGTGGGGGTGCAAGCAGGCAGGTGGACACCAAAGCCTTTCAAAGCTGCCCATCCTGGTGCACACAGGCCTCCGGGCAGCATTCCCTGCCTGGCCCTATCTCATTTCTCTCAAGTGGTGTGGCCCAGCCAGTGTGAACACATGGCACTTCCCCAAATATGCCAGGCTCTGAGATGGGTTTGTTCATGCTGCTCCCTCTTCTAGAACTTTCTCCTTCACTTCTTTCTTGAAAACTCCATCTTGACTAAACCCTCAAAATACAGCTCAGGAGCTATGACCTCCGGGAAGCCTTCTACGTGCCACGCTCCCAAGCTTTGCTCAGTGTCCCGCATGGCTGCAGCCTCCTGCCCCTGTGGACAGGAGGCCCCCAGGAACGACCGCACCTGGCATGCAGAAAGTGCTCAATAAATATTTGTTGAATAAATAATTTGTATAGGGGAGGCAGCTTCTTTCCCCTTCCATTACAATCCTTTATTTTTATCTTATTCTTTCCAGTTGACAAAGGACTCCACTCAATTACTCAGTAAATATTTACTAAGGACAACTACGGGGCCTGGTACTTTCCTATTCATTTTGTGCCTAACCTCATAGCCGAGCAGGACTGAGACAGATTCTCTTCCCCTGTTACAGAGTGGCGGAAAGCGGCTCAGTGAAATTTCACTGCCCAGATGTGGCAGAGAGGGAGCCAGACGCAATATTTGCATGGACTGCACTAGACTGGAGCTCATCATGCTGGGCTGGGCCGGCCAGGCCAGGCCGTGTTGGCCAAGGAAGGAGCCCCGCAGTGAAGGGTGCCAAGAACACTCCCCCTTTCCATCCCAGCAGCTGGGCGTGGGCCCTCATCCCCCTTTCCATTCAGAGAACACACCCTAGCCCAGGAGAGGAAGAACCAGTGGCTAGTCCACCCCCCCTCAGCTACCCACACTCACATGTGACTGCTCGAGATACCAGCACTGACAGGGTTTTCTGGCGGTGCCCTTGATCAACCGGTTCATCTGGAAGTAAAATGTCCAATTGACAAAGAAATGGCTGCCTACAGCTTGGCTACAGCGGTGGGGGCAGGCCTGAGGGGATCTGGAGCCAAAGCCCAAATCCCATTAAAGCCAACCCTCAGTCCCAGGGCTCCTGTACCTCCCAGGAGGCCACCACACCCTCTCCATCCACAGGCGGCCCCAGGGCACAAAGCATACCTTCCACAAATGGGTAGAAAGGCAAGGCACCACCACAGGCCTGGTCTTCTGTCTTCACCACCACCACCACGTAAAAGCTGTTGCTGGGGAAGTCTTTCCGCTGCAGGACACGAGGACAGTTACCATCGTCATCATCCCTAATCACCTCATCATCCTTGTCTGCAAACTTGCTTTGGACCAGACGTTATGCTAGACTCTGTTTTCCATTTTCTTTTGGTTGAAGTAACACTGGTTTACAACACTGTAGGGGTTTCAGGGTACAGTTTCTCACCTCAGCAACTGTATCATCCCACACCTCACCAAATATCCAGTCACCACCATAAACTAATCAGCCCTGTCTACACGGCCCCTACCACCTTGTATGAATGGTAACCTCCATTCTAGGGTCAAAGTCTAATTTTTTTTTTTTTTTTTTGTAAAACTGCTTTTCATCACCCCCCCCCCTTGTTTTGTATTTCTTTCTTTCTTTTTTTTTTTTTTAAAGATTTATTTATTTACGCATACAGGAACTGGGGTACAAAGCCAGAGGTATATGTGTGTGTTAGGGGGGTTGAGGATTCACCAAGACAGAGTGGGGAGCAGAACAGAGGGATCTAATGAAATACACTGCTGAGGGGAGCAGTGAGCAGGTCAGGAGAGGCCTGCTGTGCCACATGGGTTGGGGATCAAAACTATGCTGCAATAGCTATGAATAGCTTTGTCATGCTGAGACTTGACTTCCTGTGCCACCAGGGAGACCCCTTTCTTTGTTATTGCACAAACCAAAGAATCATTTGTTACTTCTTTTTCTCCCTTGGACTTATTTCTTTTAGGTTCCCTTAAGGCCCAGGTGTGTTATCAATGCTAAACTCCCTTTATCTACCTATTACTTTACACACCTTTACAAAGAGCTCTCTGAACTCAGCACTGTCACTACCCTCTTGGAAGGTGTAGGGTCACCCTGCCAGAAAGCAGGCAGAGGCGGGGCCTCTGCCTCAGAGCCCAAGCCCCAAGCCTGGGCCAGAGGCCAGGTGAGCACCTGGATGAGGGCTGCCTACAGGGCCCTGCTGTGGGTGGGGCCTCAGCCCCAAGAAAAAGCCAAGGGGCCCTGCTGCCTCCATCAGTTGCAAAGCTAGATGCTGTGAGGTGAGGACACGGGTTCTGCTCCTGACCCCAGCCCAGAATTCAGGCTTCACCAAGGGCAGCACAAGGCATCAGCCAGGGTCCTTTCTTCTCACTCACTACCAAGAATGCAGTAGGTATGACCACCGGGATGGGTCCTCTGCTCTTTCCAGTCCCAAGGAGTGATGGGACTGCTTCATTTCACACGTATATTAGGGGACACAACGTCTCGGGGTGGGCAGAAAAGGAAAAAAAGACAAGGGTTTAGAAAGCTAATCACCTGGCCACATCCCTCATTAGGTCAGGCGAGCTTCCTACCTGCACAGTGATGGCTGCCTTCTTGGTCATGGTCTGGTACATGCCGATGAAGGCTACATTGTTGTCCAGGTCATAGACAGGGCACTATGGAGAAGCGGAGAGGCAGTGAGTGGGGCAGGGCCTGGGCCTTGTCCCCTCTTTAGCAGCCCTGCAGCCCACTGGTGGAGAGTGGAAGGGCAGGCGACTTACCAGGACATCCTGGATGGAGATGACCGAGCAGGGGAAGGCCTTCTTGGAGGTCACCTTGACAATCACTGAGTCCACTCCCTCCGGAAACTCATACTTGAAGTACTGCGGGCATACGAAGGGTGGAGAGACCCCCACTTTATGAGGATGCGCTTTGCCCTTCTTCACGGGGACACTGGAGTTCCTCAGGACTGGGCAATGGAGACTCTCTGGGAAGCAAGGCTCTGGCCATAAGCAGCCCCACTCCTTGACCTCGGCTGGGCACTCAGGATGGCACCCAAGACGCAAGGAGGGAAGTACTATCTTATGCTACCTGCCCCTTACCCGCTTCAGGCCAGAGCTCCGGCTTCCAGAGTCCCTCCGTGAAGAGAAGAGCCACCAGCAACAACTGCCGACCCCCCACTCCCACATTCAAGCTCCCCATTAGTCCTCCTGAGAGGCAGCTGACAGGGAGCTCTTACCTGGGGCTGCGCTGCTGTGGTATTGAAGCTAAACTGTTCTCCAGTCCTGTAGGACAGAGAGGCGCCCCCCAAGTCACTCCCAGAGCTTGGGGAAGAGTCTAGTTCCCCGATTCCCTTGCGCTCCCCTGCAGACCTGAGGACGAAGTCGTCCATTCGGCTGACTCTGAGTTGGTATGTGGTGTTGACCGGTGATAGGGTGGACACATCCACGTAGAAGAACTGGACCTCGGACTCATTCTTGGTGGGGGGCTGACACAGCGTTCGTTCTACCTTTTGGTAGAGGTACTTGCGCTGATACCTGTGATTGACAGCAGAGTCACAACCGGGACCCCTGTCCCAGCCGGCCTGTCACTCCAGGGGAGCAACATTTCAATTTCCCCATTCTGGTCTCAACCAGCTCCACACCCCTGTTAGGCTGGCAAGTTCCAGGCTGGCTGGCCTGTCCTCATGCCATTAGCCAGCCTCCTGGAGAACAGAGAGGAGAATCAGAGCTCCCTGGAGGTTTGAGGCTGGGACAACGTCCTGGGTGAGGCTCTGGGAAAGGCCTGGCCTTGGCCTACCCCCCCTCCCTGGCTCCCAGGGTCCTACTCACAGCCCTCGCAGGATTAGGGGCACCTGGAAGGACACCACAGCCTCCTTCTGGCGGACCACGAACAGCAAAGGAGCCCCCTTCTCCTTGTTGAGCACATTCACGGACACACGCACGCCCTCCGTCTGCAGAATGACAGAGAGTGCCACTCAGTCATGCTCGTAGCGAGGTTACCTGCCGCCCAGGACACATGCTCCAGAGACTGGGAGCTTTGCCCTCCCTCAGAACAACTGCTTTGTTCTCCCCCAACCCTAGGGCAGGCTGGAAAGCTGGCTGTGCCCCTCTGTGTAGGGCAGCCCCCAGTCTCCAGGAGGAACCTGTGCTGAGTTGGAAAGGAGACTTACAGACCAGCTGGCACCACGCTGCCAGGCTTGTGCAGAGCAACAGGCCCCCAGCTTACTTCCCAGGGCCTTACGTCCCAGCACAAAACACAATGGAGACCTCAGGTATTTCCAGGACACCCCACTCTAATCCATGCTCATGGGGTGCTCATGGAGTGTCTGTGTACACGCACACAGAGGACAGCAAGAAGGCCCCTTGCAATCTTCTTCCTTGTGCGCCAGGAAGCTCCCATTCAACTCATCTGGGGTCAGAGGTGGGGGTGGGGTGACAGGGATTGCTGAAAGCCAAGAAAGCCAAGTTCTAGCCTGACCTTAGCTCTGACCAAGGGATGGGGCTGGGGAGAGGTTCCTTCACATCACTGAACCTCTGTGTCTCCTGTATAAAAGGGGGACACTCTCTTGGTGCTGTGGAGGAAAGTAGATAGGGCAGTGGGCGCTTAATAAATAAAGCAACAATCAGAGGAATGCTTGTTATGGGCTACCAAAACCCAAGCTACAGCTCTCAGAGTGACCCCAGATAAGCAGGAGCTCAAACTTCACAGAAGCAGGCAAACCCTGGCCTGCCACAGATACCAGATCCCTCCCCAGCCTGAGAAAAAAACAGATTTTGCCATTCCCATCTCCAAGAAACAAGTTCTCCAAACCTCAGCTCTAGACTTCCCCTCCAGCTCTGCCATGCTCAGCTCAGAGCTGGGGAAGACGTAGGATGCAGTGGGTTCTCCAGAGTAGATAAACTCCCTTTCTCCTCCCACTCAACTTGGAGTTTGCCTTATCACTACCTTGGACTTACAAGGCCAGCTGGCTTTCCAAGGCAGGCAGAGGACTAGGACGGACCCACGGACACGGCAGCCTGGAGGTCCAGCCACCACCCCAGGTCACCTCCCTGGGGTACCTGGGTTGTAACTGGCCAGGGCAGAGTCTTTCCCTATGGGGCCTGCCTCACCCCTCTGGGGGTTTTCTGGGAGCAGCCCAGATGCAAGGCTCTTCCCTTTGCGCCCAGCCCAGGGCTATCAGTTCTGGGTGCTGTGGGGGGGCGTAGGGGGGGGGGGAGCTGCCGATCCTGCTCAGACCACAGCTGCTGCAAGGGAAGGGGTCGGTGGGAAGGTGGGAAAGAGGCAACTTCAGAAACTGGCCCGTGGGAGCGTCGGAGAAACAGTCCAAGGAGCTCTCGGCAAGAGGCCCCACGGTCGTTCTGGGAAATGAACCCGGCGGCGGCGGTCCGCGGGGCCCCGGGCAAGGCGAGGGGAATGACAGGCTCACCTTGCCCGGCCCGTCCACCCGCTCCACCCGCTCGCTCGCCGCCTGCCCCATCCCTCACCCGGTTTCGGGTCACGGTGTGGTTGAAGGTGTAGATGTTGACCAGCTCGCTGTTGACCTCGTCCTTGTAGATGCGCTCGAACTCGGCATCTTTCTGCGAGACGTTCTTGGGCCCCAGGACCCCCAGATGGCCGTCCACAGCAGCCACCCAGAGCGCCAAGAAGGACCAACCCAGAGCGAACATGGCCCCGGCAGGGCGGCAGTGGCGGCGGGAGCGGCGGCGGCGGCGGCGGCGGCGGCGGCGACAGGCCACTGGGCACCTCCGGGACGGGTTGCGGCTCTGGCCGCAGCTTCCAGCATCTCACCCAGACCAGAACTTTAACCCCGGCCTGAGATTAGGACCGGTCCCCTCCCAGGAGCCGCGGAGACGCTCCCAGGGGCCCGGGAGCCGAGAGGGCGGCGGGGAAGGGACGGGAGGGAGGGCCGGGGCCGGGGCCGAGGAAGGGGCCGGCGCCCGAGGGGCTGAACGCGGCCCGGAGACCCGGCCGCCGCCGGCCGGGGCCCCGCGGGCTAGGGGCGGCTGGTTGCCGGGAGCTAGGAGACGCCGGGAATGGGGAGGGGGGCGGAGGGAGGGGAGAGGGCGGCGGGGGCGGGCGCGAGGGAGGAGTGTCCGAGGGTGAGGGGCGTGCGAGGTGGTGGCTACAGTCCCCCGCGCGGCGTGGGTTTCGGGGGAGCGAGCCCTTTAAGGGCAGGCGGCCGCCTTGGCTCCTGCGCCTGGAACTCCGGCAAGTGTGCGACGCCGGGGGGCGGTAAACAGCAGGGCGGCTGGCTGGCTCGCTGACGTCAAGGGAAACTGGAACAGATTTAAAGGGCCAGGTTCCGGATGGGGCCTTAAAGGGACCGCAGCCTTCACCCTGCGGGGAAGACACCGCCGCCTTCCGCGAGAGCCAACTCTCGCCGCGCCACTAGCGCTTCCGTCTTTCTTTTTAAAGATGGACCCCTCTCTGTGCATAGAAAACATCAACATTTCTTTGGGTCAAGGCGAAAGGAAAGTGAAAGAGCCAAACGTATAAGACACAAATAATTCTCGACATCAGTGACTCACTGTTTCCCCTCCTGCAAGAAACTCTGAGATGAGGCAAACTGAACGCAAACTTGTGATGGTCAGAGTAGTTCTTACAGAGTCAATCTGTTGTACTTTTCCCCAGGTTAGAATCCTCACTTTGATGATCTATAAGCTCCCGAAGTACCCTAGGACTATCAGTCCTCTCGTAATTGAAGGATCCTCAGGGTAACAAGAGGGACCTTCATAAATGAGCCCTCTGGGGCCTCCTGGTGGCCCATGGCATTAAGTCTCAGTACCACACAGTTCAATCCCTGGGAAGGGGGGTGACCCACATGGCTCGGCAGAGCTCTCCCGACCACCCGCTGCGCCCCTTAGCAGTATTTGGGTGGATGCACCTGTTCTGCTCCCCACTCTGTCCCCAACACCTGTGGCCTACACTTCAGCTCTTGTATGCATAAGCAAATCTTTAAAGTAAAGAAATAAATGTGCCCTCCGTGGCCCTGTTTGGAGAGTCAGTGTAGGACTTCCACATTCCACTTGGCTTTCACTTTCTCTCAGGGTGACCCCCTTCCTCATCTTGCCAGTGAAGCTGGAACTCTAGTAGTCTACCCTGAGCTAGAGCTCCTCACTGACAGCCTGCTGTAACTCAGCAGGTCTACCTGGTGCCAGAGCTTTTAAGAACCCCACATTGAGAACCACAGAAGCTCGGCTACAGGCTGGTTGGTACTGTGACAGTACTGAAAAAGCTCAGGCTGGGGCTGAGGGTGGGAACTCCCAGAACTCCAAGTCTGCCTCTATGCCTGCTTAAAATGCGTACAGACCCCTCCTCCGGTTACTGAATCACAGCCTCTGGAGGTGGAGCCCAGTAACCTGCATTTTAATAAACACTCCAGAAGCTTGTCTGTGAATCACTGCTCTGGGGCCTATCCCTATCAATATTTGTTAGCTCCTTTTCTCTTGGCAATGTCTTTGGAGAAACCTATTTAGCTAAACCCTTTCCTTTTGCAACATCTCAAAGGCTTTACCTTTGATGCTTCAGCTCTGTGTTCAGACAAGAGGACAGCTTCAGATTATTTTGCTGTTCTCAGGTCTGAAAAGGTCCTCAGCCCTTCTACCCCCACCCCCTACAAGGGAACAACATGGCCAGTTATGAATAGGCCCTTTCTGTAGTCTGGCAGCTCTGGAAGGAGAGAAGGTCTTTTTGTTGGCTGTGGTATGAAAGAAGGGCAGGGCCAGGTCTCAGTCAGACTTGTGAGCACAAAAAGGAGACGTAAAGCTCTCAAGGCGGCCTTCTGTACAGGCCCAGCTACTGTATGCTCTGCCCTGTTATATAAAAAGCCCAAGCCGGCCTGGCAGTTAGCAGACAGGCGTCACAAGGCTCGGAGGACTTCCTCCACCCCAGGGCCATCCTTCCCAGCCTGGGTCTATGCAGAAGGGACCTAGGTTAGGGGACCACTCCCTAGGCTGCTGACAAGGTTCCCAGTTTCCTTTGGGTCTGACTCCATGTTAAGTCATGAGATTTTTGAGGTTTGGAGCAATATGACGGGAAACTTCAGCGGTCTCAGGGGTATTTTTAAAATTAACCTTAAGACTGCACCCAGACTAGGACACTAAACACAGTAATTGATGGACTCCAGACTCCAATCAAGTTATTTAGCTTTGGGAAGTGTTAGAATCAAGAGAGTTCTGAATAAAGTAATGGTGTAATTGTAACCAAAAATTAAGTTACAAAACCAATCCCTCTAAAGGGAACAAACTTGAAATTCCTTGTTTTCACTATGACCATCCAAGGGGCTTAGAAGCACACTTAACACTCAGAGACCTGTCCTGGACACAGGTGACCCTGACACAGAAATCTGTGCCCCCATCATGCAAGCTGTCCTTTCCTGGGACTGCTTGTGTATCTGGTTCTCTCTCCTTCAAGGAGTGTGAAAACAGGGTGCAGGTCATCAGACTGGGACTCAGTCACAGTATGTATTCTGTCACCGGGAGTGGGGATGGAATGGGGGGTGGGGACACACAACATCTCAAACCTGTCATATAGCTTCACAGTATTACTGGAAAAGCAAGAACGCTAATGTCAGAAAGTCCGACTTTTAAATACCCCTTTATGGTGTGTCTTGAGCAAATGAAAGTTTTCAGGAGCCATTTCATCTCCATTGTCCTAACCACTACACAGTGGGGCTGAGCTGGGCTGCATTCAACGTCCTGAACTACTGTCTGAAGTGGAGGAGGGGAAGTGGCTTTGACTGAGTGGCCAGGGCTTCCTGCCAGGAATAGACTGCCACATCAGCCAATACAAGTTGGCCCCTATTTAAAGTTTCAGTTCCTAAACCTGGGCTTTCACCATTCAGCCAGGACTCAGGCGCACCATATTTCTGGTTCTCTTAGCCATGTAATGGAACCAGCTTCAGAGCTTTCCAGGAAATGAGGCTGATCATCAGGTTGCTGACAACAAGCAGATAAATAATTGATCAGCTCAAATCTGTGTCTCCAAAGATCACTGATAAAAGTGAGCCAGTCATCCTCCTATTTCAAGGACGCTTTTGTCTCTAAGAAATCAGAAGATGCAATTGAAGAACCTTTTACTCCTCCCTGACTGTATCTAAAGATTATGCGCAACTCAGTGAGTGAGTTTTGGAGTTTCTGTTCTCTTTACTCTCTGGTTCAGATACAGGCTACATCCCATGGTTTCCTGTGTTACTTTACCGGCCCTTAAAGCCCTCACAGCATTCACAATACTTTGTTTCTCCAAATTAGTCTTTTCCTTCTAACTTCTTTTCCAATAACTACCCAGATGAATTCTGTCCAGTCTAACAATGACAGAAGTCTATCAACAATTTTTATATTAGGCACACATGTCTTTATTGTCCTTCAATTTTGTTTGTCCCTATTTATCATTAGCAAGAATAAAATCTATACCGTTCCTCAGAAGGGATAACTTTGAAACAACTGGAATTAAAATCATGATTTGTGTTTCAGTTCCTGTTCTGACCATTACTAGCTATCCAGGAGCAGAACAATCTCCTGTTTGTCCCTTCATTTGCTCAGTCATAAGTGACAAAGCTAGGTGCTGGTAACACAAAGACTTTTAAAACATTGTTATTAAGGAATTCATAATCCAAATCAACAATGAAAAAAAAACTAAAAAAAAGGGGGGGAAATTCATAATATATAGCTAAGAGCAGACAAACAGGTAAAAGCTTTATACAGGTTATTGTGGGAACTCAAATAAGAACTGGAAATGGGGGAGACTGGAAAATACCCAAGATATATCCCTAGGGGTTCCTAAAAGTTGAGGAGCTAGAGAGGTAGGAGCAGGTGGAGGTCTCATCTCGGGGCAGATTCACAGCTCCATGTTACTGACTTGAGGTGCAGTGAGGGATGGAGGATCTGAACTGAAGGAGTCAGATCCTGGAGAGCATGGATGTGACACATCGCATCGGTAGGACTACGGTGGTGGCCGAGGGGCATGCCACATGCACTGTGAGTCGTGAATTCTTCAGTGTGCTGTCAGTTTGATGGGTGCATAGAGTGTGCTTAAAGATCTGTAACATTTGTTTATGTGAATCAAGCTAAAATGAATAGCCAACAAGCAAAAAGCAAGCGACATAGCAAAACTCAGACCAGTGTCAGACAGTTTAGCAAAACACTTTAGGTCTTTGCTTCTTGGCTACCAGTAGCCAAGACTGGCTGGCCATGGCTGAGACGGATCCTCCTGTTGGTTTGTCCAGTTTTCCCCCAGGTAGATGATGGTGAAGTAACTTTCCCTTCGACCACACCACTGGCTCTTCTACTTCTCCAGGGTCATTAAAGAGATTCATTTGGGATAGTTTGGAGAGTTGATATGACCTCAGGACCTAGGCAGTTTTCACATTTGCCCTATGATCTTAGGGAAACCCATAAGCAGATGACAAAGGCCAGCTCTAGGACAGAGGGTGGGGAAGAGCTTAGTGTCATTAAATGCAGGGGAATGACTAGAAAAAAAAATACATTTACTATCTCCACATCTTATTGGAGGGTTTATAGACCCTCCCTGGTGGCACAACGGGTTAGGATGCAGCACTGCAAGCTGGCTGCAGCTGCTTCAGTGTGAATTAGATCCGGCCCTGAGGTGACCCACATGGAACAGCAGACCTCTCCTGACCCGCCCACTGCTCCTCTCAGCAGTGTACTCTGTCAATTTTGCCTGTTCTGCTCCCCGCTGTGTCTCTGATGAATCCTCTCACCCTCCACATCTCCGGCCTGTACCCCAGTTCTATATGTATGAATAAATAAATAAATCTTAATAAAAAAAGAAAAAACATATTTGTATAAATATAAATTTATGTATTCATATAAACCACTTTAATCCAATAGCATCACTGTGGTGAAGAATGATGAGTAACTGATACAAGAACACTAGAAATTATTAGCTAACAAGGAACATTCTATCAGCATTATCAATTTGCTGCAATTATTTCTGGTGTGGTTGGTGGTGTTAGTCACCAGGAGAGGCCCTGCTGGGCCAGGAGTGTAACTCCTGACCCTTGCTCTAGCCTTATAGCTGTAAAGAGCTTGTACTTGGAGCAGACTGTTGTAGCTAAAAGGGTGTGTGTGTGTGTGTGTGTGTGTGTGTGTGTGTGTGTGGGGTCAATGAGAACATGTTTATGTTGTGATGAGTGAGAACTGTTATCTACCAAAGGTTCCTATACTATGTGGTCCCATTGTAATATACTGAAACTGTAGCCTTCACCCAGCTTAGATGAGGTAGTTCACAGCAAACACCCATCCTAGTCTATCTGTAAAAACTTCTTGGTCTTGCAGAGGCGGTAAGTATACTTCAAGTTCTTGACAGAACCTTCAGCATTTCATCTGCAACTAGGTCCTCACTACCATTCCTTGGAATAAGTCAACAACTCCCATTTTAAAGTTATCTTTTTGCCACTTTTAGAGTTTCTTTCAGATAATTTAATGTCACTTAGCCCAATATTCTTTCAATATGAATTTTTAAAAATAATGTAAGTTTATTTTTACATAATTTCGTGCATTTTCCCATCCCAGTTATAATCCCCTTGGGCTTCCCATTTCCAATCACCCATGTGCCACCACCATAAAATCTGAACTAATTAAAAAAAATTTATCTATGAGAACGAGAACTGGGGTATAGGCCAGTGGTGTGTGTGTGGGGGGGGGTTGGGGGATTAGAACAGGCAGATCTGCTGAAACACAATGCTGAGGGGAGCAGAGGGCAAGACAGGAGAGGTCTGCTACACCCTGTGGGTCAGCTCTTGGGCGGGGGGATGGAAGTCTAGAACTCATGTTGCAGTGGCTGCAGTTATCTTCATAGTGCTGAGACTTAAGCCCTTGCACAGGGAGGCCCCAACCTGAACTAATTTGATATGCTAGTACAGTAGTTAATATTTGAACGTCATGTGTCCCACCAAAAAATTTTGCTCCATAAACATTTCTGCTAATTTTAAGGTTGGAAAAAGTGAGTCCAAATGGAATTTATAAGTATTGGACTGGTTGAAGTTGCCGTAGACAATGCGAGAAGGTTCATGTCTAATACTTTCAACTGAAAAGCAAACTAGAGACATTCATCATGAACTTCAGTAAATCAGAATCTAGAGCTCAAAAGAAACTGCAGGTTGAATTAGTGGTAAAGATGCTACTGAAGCCAGGTTAAATCTGGCATTACATGACTTCTTTAAGACTAGTGTAAAATGGGGACGCAACTGTATATAATGTGCTTAGGTGGTTGATAGATGGGAAATGTAATCCTGAGGCTTTCCTCCCTACATGGCACAGGTACTTTGAGAAAGTTAAATTACTTGAAGTTTTCCAGTTCAAGTAGGGAAGAAACAATGGAGAGAAAAACTGGTGATAGTATAAGGGGTGGCAACACAAATGAAACAGGGCCATTTCATGTGAACAAATTCTAAAGGTTGGAATTAGGGAAAAGGGTCAAAACGGGGCTATCCCTGGTGGTGAAACGGGTTAAAGCACAACACTACCAAGGTAGTCACAGCTGTTTCAGCACGTTTGATCCCCAGCCAGAGAAGTGACCTACATGGTGCAGGAGACCTCTCCTGTCCCGCCCATTAATCCCCTCAGCAGTGTACATCATCAAAAACTGCCTATTCTGCTCCCTACTCTTGTCTCTAGTGAATCCCCTCATCACTCTGCACCTCTGGCTTATACTCCAGTTTTGTATGCACAAATAAATCTTTTAAAAAAAAAAAAAAGGGCTGGATGAAAAAGATGTGGTACAGGCCCTCCCTGGTGGCGCAGAGGGTTAAAGCACAGCACTGAGAATCTGAGGCCACTTCTGCATGAGCTCGATTCCCACCTGCCCCGGAGATCCACATGGTATGGCAGACCTCTCCTGGCCAGCCCACTGCTCCCCTCAGCAGTGTACTTCGTCCATCTGCCTGTTCTGTTCCTCACTCTATTTCTGGTGAAGCCTCTCACCACCCCTAAGCCTCTGGCCTGTACCACATTTCTGTATGCACAAATAAATATTAAAAAAAAAAAAAAAGATGTGGTACATACACACACAATGGAGTATTACTCAGCAACCAAAAACAAAAACAAAAAAACAAAAAAAAACCCAAAAAACCAAAACTCATGCCTTTTGCAGCAACATGGATGGGGCTAGAAAAGATCATGCTTAGTGAAGTAAGCCAAAAACAAAAGGAAAAAATACCGGATGGTTTCATTCATAGCAGGAGTGTAAAGGACCAGGTGGGAAAATAATGAACAACTATATACAAGACATTTTACAGGGCTGGAATGGGATCAAAAACGGTGAGGGGAGGGAAATGCACTGGACCATGGGGATGGCACATGGGTGATTTGGTGATGGGAAGCCCATGGAGATTACAACTGAGATGGAAAAAGGCACAAAATGATGTAAAAATAAACATTATTAAAAAAATAAAGGGTCAAAACGTTAGCTTACTGGCTGTGTGTGTGTGTGTATATATATATATATATATATATTTTAAGATTTATTTATTCATACAGAACTGGGGTACAGGCCAGAGATATGGAGGGTGAGAGGATTCACCAGAGACAGAGTGGGGTACAGAATAGGCACATCAACAAAGTACACTGCTGAAGGGAGCAGCGGGCGGGTCAGGAGAGGTCTGCCGCGCCATGTGGATCTCCTCTAAGGCAGGCAGGGATCGAACTCATGCGGAAGTGGCTTAAGCATCTTTGTGCTGTGTTTTAACCTGCTGCACCACCAGGGATGGCCCTATATATTTAAGATTTATTTATGCACACAAGAGCTGGGGTGCAAGCCAGAGGTGGGGGTAGGTGAAAAGATTCACCAGAGATAGAGTGGAGAACAACACAGGCAGATCTACTGAAAACACACTGCTGAAGGGAACAGCCAGTGAGACTGGAGAGGTCTGCTGCACCATGTGGGTCATCTCTCCCCCGGCTAGGGATTGAACTCGTGCTGCAGTGACTGTGGATAGCTTTATAGTGCTGAAACTTAACTCCTTGTGCTACAAGGGAGGCCCTAATTCTGTTTTTAACTGCCAGATACTTTTAACTAATCTGAACATTTGCTTTGACATTTTTTCCATTTACCTACTTAAGTATTCCTTTTGTGTTCATCTCACCGTTCCCTGAGGAGCTAGATGAAGAGGGTCAGCTTGATATTCAGTCCCACAGAAAAGCAGCAGGTTGTTAAAAATATACAGATGCTTGTAATAAGGGGAGAAACGCCTTTTCTTCACCACTGGAAATCAAACTATGATAAAAAGAGAAAGTCGTAGGCAAGTTTTGAGTGAAATGTTCACATTTATATTGAAATATGCACTAAAACAGAATGAGTTCTACTAGTCAATGAAACGTTGCCAAAGCAGAATCACAAACTTCCATCGGGGAGGTCCAGTCGCTAGCAGCAGTGATCCCCCAGCAGGAACAGCAAGGAGAAGTCTGGGAGATCCCAGTTCAAAAAGTCTCCTTTCAAGAGATTCCCAACTCACTTCTCCCACATGCACCCACACATGTCCATGCTCCTCATTTTCAGTTTCTTCTTCACTGCAATAAATATAAAATTGGCAATGCTCATACACCACAGCACAGACATTATTTCAGGCTTTAGCATATAACTGTAAACAGTGACCAGGTTAAAAAAAAAATAAAGTGGAAACTTTTTAACGAGAGAATTCTTGGGTGGGCATGAGCTACTCAAGATTTAGTTTTTTGTAATTATTTAGGGTTCAAGTTTAGAGAGGTGCCCTCAACAGTCCAGACTCACTCAGGTGGGTACCAGAGCACTACCTGTGGCAGTCTAGAATACGTGGGCAAACAAATAAAAATACCTTAGATAACCCTCACCAGTACTTCTTTGATCTGCTACATTCCAGCATTGCCAGTTGCCATCTAGTGTAGCAGAACCAGGTGGATAACAGAATGGAAACTTGCTGGGAGAAGAAAAGCACAATACCTCTGCTAGCTGCCTAGAAAGTTGGCCCCTTAATCATAAGACGACTAGGAGATTTCACTGGGACAGTACATTAAATTA